GGCGCAACTTTGTAAGAGCTTTGAAACTTGTTAATTTGTTCTTTTTTTTTTTTGCTACATTTGTCAAGTCTTAGTGCAAGCAAACATAATCGAGAAACATGGTGGGGAGGCGAGTGACGTCATTGCGGGGTTAAGCAGGATACATGGTATCGATGTTTCATGTACATTCAAACAAATTGTATGGGTATGGTTTTTTTTTTATATAATTATATACACATAAATTGCCGCCTTAATGCATTCGAGTAAGGTCCTCCACTATTTTGATGACATCCTCCACATCTGCGCCCTTCCGTTCCCCGTTAAGCGTCAACTGAAAGTGAGAAGGGAAAACCCTTAGTATATTGGAATACATGTTGGAATTGCTGTAATCGAACCTCTAAGCCCAGCACAGCATCTCGCATCTTGTCGCGACTCAAGTCCAAAAAGCTTTCTATCAGATCGCCATCGATGAATCCTTCGCTGGGCTCCACTTTGGTGTTGATTTGGAAATTTCGATAATAGGTGTGCTCGATTTTGCCCACCGACTTAATGATCTTCTTCAGGCGCTCCTCTAGGCCATGCAGGAAGTCGTAAAAGTCCTGCGGTATTTGGGTGACAATGCCAATGGCTCCATTGCATGTCCCATACAGCACACATCCATTGATGGGCGTGGTGCGCTCGCCCACATTCTGCATCACCAAAGAGCCATGCCGAAAAACGTTCACCGTATCGCCCAGATGGAAACGCGCCAGCTCCGGCAGCAGCTGACGTTCCTCGTCGGTGGTGGCAGCACTAGAAAAAGTTACTTTAATTATCCGAATATTTGTATAGTTATAGTTAATAGAACTATACCTGTCCTTCTGGCACACAAACAGATTGCCGTTTGTCTCCGAGCCCAGAAACGTATCGTCATCGAGTATCTCCACGGCACGCATCCACTTTGGCTCGCAGTCGCGGGCGATCTCCACAAAGATTCCCTCCATCTGTTTGTGCTGCAGCAGCGTGATAGAGCGCATCAGATCGCCCACTAGGATGAAGTCGCCCTTGGCCTTTAAATACAGCGCCGCAATCATATTCTGGATGTTGCACTCCATACGGAGCTCCTTCTCGTTGGTCCACTCATAGAGACGTACAAAGCTGCCAATGCCGGCCAAAACCTTGCCATTAAACTCGACTAGGGCGTAGCACGTTCCATCCACCTTGGTCTCGGCCACCTGTGTGAGCTTGTTGTCGTGGTAGTGAAATATAATTATGCGCCCCACCTTCGGCTCCGGCTCGTCGGGTATGACCAACGAGGTGGCGACCACATAGTATGTGTTTGGATCGTCCCCCAGCTTGGCTGACATCAGTGACGATATGGTCTCGGGGGCTACGAACTGGTGGGCATGCAGCACCTCGAAGGTATTCTGATCGATCACCAGCAAGTTGTGCACGTCGATCTCCTGTCCAACCTCCGCATTGGCTGCCGTGGAATTGTTGCCGCCCGGCTTGGGCAAGATATTCGAGCTACATGTGATATTCTGGGCCTGTGTGGAGGCGCTGTTGCGCAACGGCTTGGCCCCGCCGCGTCCATGAACATCGATGCGCAGCGTGGACACAGCAAAGGTCTGCGACGCCTCCTGATAGGCAATGCGACGCGGTCCCTCGCCCAGGGGCACCGTACGGATGTGCAGTTTCTGGATCTCGTCAATGGTGCCCAATATAACCGAGTTCTTGGTGGCCAACGCCAAGCTGTCTGGATAGGCCTGGGCATTCAGCGAGCACATGTGATTGACCTCCTTCAGATTAACGTTGGAGAAGACGAGCTTGTGGTTCGACGAATAGATCACCGTCGGACGGTCGGAGCATGCAAATACATTGGTCGTGGCAAACGATCGGAAGGTGCGCAGCGTTGTGGGCTGCGTACCGAGCGTAACCTTCTTCTTGTCCGTCAGCTGCCCGGTCGCCTGGTCCATAATGAAGTAATACATCGAACCATCGCCAAGGGCGCAGAGCAGATAGTGTATGCCCTCGAAGGTGGTCATCAGTATGGAGCGGGGAATAATTTCTGCAATCGAATCGATACGATACGGTTTCGGTTCACAGAATGACGCACAAAATTTGAGTTCAATATTTATTGTTTACCTCCGCTCAGCTTCTCCGTGTAGATCGTCTCTAGATCGGGCAGCGACAGGATCACTGCGGATATGTCTGTCCACAAGCCCACGGCAATCAAGTCGGATTTGTTTTGCGTCTCATCCAACGGCGTTATATCCAAGCAGGCCACCTCATATGCCAGTGTCTTGCGCGCCTTCTCTACCAGACGGCCATCCTCGATGACGATGTAGAAGATGTCGCGTGCCGATGCCAGCACAATCTGCGTACTGTTGCAGGAGACGACACCAATAGAGCGATCGCCCTCTGGCCGCCATTCGCAGATCAGTGCCTTTGTGGCACTTTTCACCAGTCTCACGCTGTCCGATGTGACTTGAATTAGCTGAAGAGGGAAATTCTTCATTAAAGAGGGCAGGCACCACCAAGTGGTGGCTAAATGAGGGAGGGATTTCAAACCTGATCATGTTCCACATTGGCGCAGAGAAAAGTTTGCAGATCGCTGGCAAAGCCGGGAATCTCCGTTTCCTCCACTTCCTCGCCAGACAATGTGAGAATCCTTGTGTGTCCCACAAAGGCCAATACGAGCGTATTCTCGTATGGACTGTCGTCGATGCCCACCTTCAAGGACCACATGCCCTTTATCCCTGGCAGATCAATGCAGGCATGCTCTTGAATCCCTATTCCGATGCGAATGATGCGCAGGGAGCCATCTTTGAAGCTCCCCGAGCAGGTGATGATCTGACCCTGTCCCTGGCGATCCAAGTCAACGACGGCAATGTCCAGAATGGGTGCCAGATTGGTGAAGTTCTCCACTGGTATGACGTAGGAGCCCTCGATTGACTCGGAGCTGAGGCGCACCAGCTGCGAGTCGCCATGGCGGGCGCCTATGTAAAGGAAACCATTGTCCAAGTAGGTAATGCACTCTGGTATGGAGATCTCGCCGAGTTTCTCCACCTTGATGTCCTTGACAGTGACGCCCTTGCTCGTCTCGGATGTGCCCAGGAATAGCATGTACAGCTGACCGTCCATGTTGCCCAGCAAGTATCGCAGTCCCTTGCCATCCACCCTCGCATAGCAGTTGATGGTGCTCTGGCGGAAGGTGAGCGGTGCCACCGCATGGTAGTTGCTGCCATCGTGGTAGACAATCGACTCGCGCCCAATCACGATCACGCCGCCGATGGGTGACGGTACGGGTATCAGCATGGTGGCTTCCGTCTCGACATTGTCCTGCTTCCATGCAATTTTCACGAATTCCTTCTCTCGCAAATTAATCTCATGCGACTTGACGTGCCGTCCATCGTTGTCCTTGTGGATGACTATGACTGTGGGATTCAGGCAGCCGTGCAGGAACTCCACATCGTACACGTTCAGCTCGTCCATCCTGATGCAAAGGCAAAACTCAAATTATAAAGAATTTTTATTTGCATTTCATTCAAGTTACCGCAAATTGGTTGCCTTTAGCTCGCTTGCCTCCTTGTCCATGGGTATGATGGTGAAGAGCCCCTGGTACAGGCACATGCCGATAACTCGGGCCTTTGGATCGATGGCAGCAATGACCCCGCCCTCCGACGGAATGCCCGCCGAGTCCGAGACATTGCCGTTTGCCTTGGTTATGACGGTGATGCTGTCGTTGACCATGCGCGCCTCCAGTATCATGACGTTGTAGCGACGAGTCAGTATGAAGAGCAGATCCTTGTTGCTGTCCGGCGGCCTGAAGTGGCGCATAACCGCGACGGTGCCATTTATGTTGATCTCCTTGAGCGGGCGCAGGCCCTCCGGCGTGACGAGGTCAATCTCCACCTGGTTGTTGCGGGCGATAATCAGGTTCAGGTCTGTGGGCGATGTAAAGTTGCCTGGAAGACAAGAGACAGAGCACAACAATTGAGATATCGATCCGCCATCATGTAGCTTGTGTAATCAAGGCGAAGAGCCGGCGAAACATGCATGTTGTTCTGTTTCTGTTCCCGATGGAGAGCCGAAACGAACGCAATTTGTCTCCCCCTCGCTTCCTCATACCAGTTAAGCAGGCTACAACCGCAGTGGGCTTTTGCGCGGTCACCACGTAGTGATGCGACATTTTCGCAGAAGTTTCCAAAGTGCACCAAACTGAGAGACGAGACACTCAAAGATTCAAGATAAAACACGCGTTTACGGAAAATAAATTTTGTTCGCCAAACGCGCTAAAAAATTGTTCGGCACCTTGGCGTTGCTTTACGTTTTCCTGTCATCTGGTAGCACTGCGTAGAGCTCAGACAATCGATGACACTATACTATCGACAGATAATAATGTATGTAGCAAACGTGTAGTTACCATGTAAAAAAGGGACATTTTTGCTGACCTGTGTTTAAACTTTAAAGCTTAGTTGATAAGTAATCCAATAAATGGGAGTCCATATATTAATCAAGATTGTGGAAGATTGATTCATATATTTGATAAAATTATATTTTTAGTTAAAGTCCTAACTAGCTAGTAATATTAAATCGAATATCAAAATCGACGAAATTCAACGTCTTGTCGTGTCCGTCAGTATATTTACGGTATATTTTAAAAATGGCAGGTATATTTGGGTATATTTCTGTGGGTCAGGCGGTATATTTTATTGATAAGTCTTGTGGGTCTGTCTGTCCGTCGGAAACTAGAGCTGTCAAACGATTGATAGTTGAGCCACCGATAGTTTTGAATTTTTTTTTTAAATCGATACTATCGTAAAAGGTATCGGGCTAAAATAATTATTAAAAAACCATTGAAACCCTTTAGGAACTTTTCCATTGTAAAAATTAGATGCCACCTGTCGATTTGCTTACAAATTTATCTTCGTATTTTAGAGCAGCGAATCCGAACATATCCGAACAAGAGCAACAACTGTAGCTCGATACTATCATGATAGTCGATAGTAGCGGATAGCAGCAAAACCCTCGATTGTTTGACACCTCTAGTTTGACATTACCTACTACGTGTTTGACATAAAAAATATACATTTTGCAGCTGAATTTGGAGCGACATTTACGAATTGCATAGAGATATACTAGTGCGTATTATTTATTAAACAGTGTAAAGTTTTTTTGTTGCTACTCCCCCCCCACCCGCTGGAGAAGTGTTTCGAAAAGTGCCTGAAATTGCCTTCGTTGGCTCTCGAAGAACATGGCGAGACTGACAAAAGTCTATACCACTGATGACGATGATTCTGGTTATGTTGGTCGCAGGCATTTACCCCTGGTAGCAGGCGATAAACTAATGGTAAGTTGGTACCCAATATATTATGCTTTGTCCGCACAGATTTTCTATATGTAAGGCGAAAAATGACTGGCAGCAGAACCCCTCACACTCGCATGAACAGCAACACACACACGCACACACTCTCCCTCACTCATGCCATGCAGCTTGTCCAAAAACTTTCATAACACACGGGTATATGTACATGCATATGTATGTAAGTGCCTGCCTGCATATGTGTGTCGGTTCGCCGTCTCGTCTCACAAACAGCTCGGAAATTGTAATTGTGCGTTTCGTTTATTAATTGAACTTGATCCATGATATTATTCTGCTGGCAGTTTTCCATCAGCTGAGAGTGTGTGTGAGCGAGAGGAGGCTCAGTCTCTTATTTCTGCACCTGCCACCCACCCCACCCGCACCCGCAACTTCTCGCTGCTTCTCTTCTCCCTCTGTCGCCATGTTGTTTGAAATTGCACACAGCAGTGCAGCCCAAGAGTGTGAGAGAGAGGGGGACAGATGAAACGCTGCCGCTGAGTCGGTAGCAGCGGATGCACCCAAACAGGTTCCACTCTCGCTCAAACCGATCTAACCGTTCTTTTCTCGACGCTTTTCCAGATGCTAATGGACCTGAACAGCAAAGGACTCGTCATCGACAGCCCCCTGATACGGGGTCGCGACCTGGAGGAGTTCTCTCGCAAATTCAGGCTGCTCACAGAGGCCGAGCGTCGCCAGTCGCTGGAGATTGATAGCGCCAGCTTTATGGCGGTGCTAAATCAGTGTGTGCAGTGCGTGGGCTGTCGACGCCGGGTGGAGCGATTGTACTATCAGCTGACCGAGTCGGGACATCGCACGCTCGATCCGCTGGAGCTGCGAGACAAGGCCAAGCTGGGCATTGCCGAGGAGAAGCTGAAGACGCCGCAAGCCCTGGGCACGCTGCTCTATCGACATCACGAGGTACTCAACAATCTGCTCGATAGTAAATTGCGCAATAAGACGCGCTGTGTCCTGCATTCGCTGGACGCCTTCCGTGCCAAACCCTTCTCGGAGACCTGGCGAGAAGTCTGGTCCGCCATGAAGAGCAACTGCCGCAACGAGTTGACCATCATCGAAACCAAGGAGCTGCACGATGTCTTGGAGAACTATCTAAAGAAGCACAAGTTCTGCTCTGGCTGTCGGACAAAGGTGAGAATTGCAGAGACAGCTCAAGGATACATATGTCTAATGTGCTGTTGCCACTTTTGCAGATTGAACGCGCCTATAAAATACTCATTGGTGAAATCTCGGCCAAAGAGAAGGGCTATGCTGCTCAGCTGTATGCCCACATCCGCAAGTGTGTCCCCGACCAGCACATACACGTGAACACGAATAAGATTGAGTTCCTCGATGCCCTGATCAAGCGTGCTGAGCCTGAGGTGAACGGCAGCTATTCGAAGCTGCGCGAACGCCACGCCAAGACGCTGGAGATCGCACAGGAGGAGGTGCTCACCTGTGTGGGGATGATCATGTACGAGCGGCTGCGTCGCATTTACGTAAGTCTGCGCGAGGAGGAGCGCGCCTGCCAAGTGCTGGCTGCTGTGGGCGTGCACGCACTTTGTCGCAGCTTTGATACATTTGTGGAGCAAAAGCAGGGCATCAGCAATTTGGAGCTGCTCTACCAGGAAATTAGTCGCGCTGAGAAGGCCAAGGAGCTCAAGCGTGAGCTGAAGAAGCTCAAGAAGAAGAAGAAGAAGGACGAGAAAAAGAACTTGCATCGCCAATGCGAAGAGAGTGCGGACGCGGACGTAGACGCAGATGTGGATGCAGACGCGGGCGAGTCTGATGACGAGGAAGAGGATGTAGATGTAGATGCAGATGTGGATATGAATCTGGAGGAGCATGTGGAGCTAAACGATTTAGGTGTCGACGATGGCATTGTCATGGAGGCAGTAACTCTTGCGCCCGAGCCGGAGCCAACGCCTCCAACCAATGACAAGCCAACGAAATCGAAAGCGAAGAAGCAACCGAAGAAAAAGAAGCAGAAATCTGCCTCCAAAAAAGCCATTACGAAGCAACAGCCGAGGTCTACGGTATCGGCTCCTCAGCACCTGGATGATGAGCACGAGCACTTGGACGTCGCCAGTTGCGTTTCATCGAATGTTGCCAAGCTGCTGCCAAGCGGCGCTGGCAAGTGTGATGAATGTTTGGCGCCCATGCCAAACTGTCCTTGTGAGCAGGATGTACGCGACTCTGGCTATGGAAGCGATCCCACGTCGCACATCAATTCCCGTACCTCCAGCGTGGTCTCGTCGCCCGAGGGATCGGAGGTCTCGTGCTCAGATGGACTGTGCAATCACGACGGCCCCCTGGATGAGGATCAGCAGAATGGCTCGGATGTTGCAGCCCGCAACAGCTTCGTCTCTGATATACTCGGCTGCCCCCCTTCGCAGTTGGAGCACAAGTTTTCATTGTTGCAGATGTGGGTGAGTTCGTTGACAGATCGTTGGCACAGACACAGCCATAAACTGCAGCAGGATTGCAGATCGTAGATGGGAAAACCTTTCTGACTTGTAGACTCATTTATCTATTTTTCTTTTTTGGGTTGCAGGACGACTTTGACGACTACGATAAGGACGATGAAAACTGTTACATTCCCCAAGAGGTGGTGCTGGCCTTCGAGTATCATCACGCGGAGGTGATGCAGCAGCGCAAGCGACTCCGTGCCACTCTGCGCGAAAACTTCGAGCGCCTGTGCCTGCAGCGGGGTGTTCGAACACAATATGCTGCAGCAACCGCTGCCACCTCAGTTGGCCATTAAAAATGCATTAAACCGTTGTAGTTATTCAGTCGAGCGGTGCGATTTCTAAAAATCAGCACGCATGCATTCAAAGTACATATAATTTTTTGTTTGAAATAAATGAAGTATACAAGTTATGCTTATAAAGTTATATTTAATCTTAATGTGAGCACTGAATCGTCAGCAGTTGCGACATTCCTCATGAAAGGGCTCCAGTGTGCGCAGATCCCGCCAGGTGGGCGGCAGGCCGTTGGCTATGTACTTGCTGCAGCGCTTGCAGGGTTCGAGGAAGAGCTTTATGTGACTGTTTAGCCAGGTCACATAGCTCTTTACCGCCAGGTCGGGTAGCGTGGGGGAGAAGAAGTGCAGCATGGCAGAGTGGGCGTGCTCCTGGACTTTGCGGAATACCTCGTATCGGGACTCTGCCCACAGGTCATCCTGCTCGAGCGGCTCGTCGTAGCCCTTCACCGTCACCCACTCAATGAGCACGCCCTTGAAGACAATGGCCGCCTTCAGCACATTGCTGATGGTGACGATCGCCACGGCGTTGGAGCCAAACGGACGGAATACTCGGTATGAGGTGTGCGGCGGGGTGTTTATTTCGCTCAGCAGTTTGTCTATATGGCTGCATAAACGAATGGGCGTTCGAGGTCAATGGCAGCTGGTGCGTATATGTACATGTAGCTACATCGCCGGAAACTTACTCCGGATCATTGTTAAACGAAGAGAACGGTAGGCGCGGGCGCTTTTGCGAGCAGTAGTTGTACGACCGCCGCAGCGTGTTCTGGTTGAGATTGTTGAAGGCCAGGAAGCTGTGATCGTGCACCTTGTCGATCCACTTATAGCTATTGACCAGCTGTGGATACAGAGCCTGCCGGTCCTGAGATGTCTCCTGGGCCAGGTACGCCGTATTTCCCAGCGAGTAGGCCGTGGGCGGTACTTGCAAACCATTTATCAACTGCTCCACTTCACTGCAATTAGTCCACCATATAAAATAACAACAAACTAATTGTCTCGATTTTCTCACCGCAATTGTGAATTTATGGCTCCAAATTTCTCCTGAAAATCGTGGACAAACTTGTTTCGGCTTTCTTCCACTCCCTCCCCATCGGTGCCGTCGGCCAGGTGCTCAAAACACTGTCGTACATTCGAACGCAGGTTCTTAACGGCAGTCAAAGTGCAATTTAACTTATCCATCTATTCAAAATATATTATTTTATAAACAAATGTTTTTAAGTCGTTCGACTTGCAACTTCTTGTATCGATAGCGCCATGTTGCAGCCGATAATTCAAGTTCAGCTTATCGCATAAAAATATCGATATTAGCAAATATCCGCGATGAACATGACAGTAGAAACTCTCGGGAGTATCTGAATAGTTTTGTCAATTCAATTTGTAAATACAACATCAGAAAAAAGTATCAATTGATTAAAGTTTCAGAAAAGTAATAAGTAAATATATTTTCAAAAAATATATCGGTACTTTGAAATATTATAAACTCACATCACTATTGCATCCGAATTGATTAAATACTTCAGCGGGTGCCTTTCAACCATTTTCTAACAAAAATTTGCACGACGAGATGGGCAACAAGTCATCGCTGTTCCTGCGGAGCGAGGAGATAGCGCAGATTCAGGAGGAAACTGGCTGTAAGTACAAAACTGGGGCGGTAACCTTGGCCGAGAAGTCATCCATCGACCACTTTCGAAATAAATACGCATTGGGATACAATGTACAAAATCCACTGACTGAAACAATTCTAGCGCTTGAGCGCTAAAAGCTGTTCAATTGCTTATACAAATATTTGCGCTTCCGTGCGATTGCTGCGCTGGCTGGCTCCATAGTCTTGCCAGTGGCCTTGCCTCAGTGGCGTCTGGTGTTTGTTTGTACCTTGGTGTGGGTGCTCTAAAAAACGAAATTACATATTTAAATATGTACATATTACAAAAGGCTTCCGCTTGCCTTATGCAAGCGCAATATTCCCAGTCAGCAATCAATTTTCATTCTAATTACAATTACAATTACACCTGCACGTCCCGCGTGACGTCATCGGCAATCCCCCCCTTTCAGTGGCTATATGGCGTCTGGGGGGCAAAAGTCGGCGCGTATCTATGCCTGTGCAATTATCTGGTGTCCGAGACCGTGTAAATGCGATATGTATTGGGGCGATAAGCTCAATTGAAATAGCCGCCAACCTCGTCGGACTTGTATCCAGTGCTGTTCGAGCAGCCACTATCAGTTCCCATTCCCGCTGATAAGAGCTGATAATTCAGGTGAATTTTATAACAACTAATTTCGACTCATTCACAGTTACTCCCAACCAAATCGAGAGATTGTACTCGCGCTTCACGTCGTTGGATCGCAACGACTGCGGGACCCTCTCCCGCGAGGACCTGATGCGCATCCCCGAGCTGGCCATCAATCCGCTGTGCGAGCGCATCGTCCACTCGTTCTTTGCCGAGAGCACCGACGATCGGGTGAACTTTCGGCAGTTCATGAACGTGCTGGCCCACTTCCGGCCGCTGCGGGATAACAAGCTGAGCCAGATGAACAGCCGGGAGGAGAAGCTGAAGTTCGCCTTCAAGATGTACGACCTCGATGACGACGGTGTGATTAGCCGGGACGAGCTGCTCTCCATTCTCCACATGATGGTGGGCGCCAACATAAGCCAGGACCAGCTGGTCAGCATTGCGGAGCGCACAATCCTGGAGGCAGACCTCTGCTGCCAGGGCAAAATATCGTTCGAGGACTTCTGCAAGGCCCTAGACCGCACCGACGTCGACACAAAGATGTCCATAAGGTTTCTCAATTGAGGTGTGCTCTGTCAGGATAAAATCTTGGACCAGAGACAGTGAGAGAGAGAGAGAGAAAGTTGGTGGGAGGGAGCTTCTTAGTCAGTGTGTACCAAATAGTTTAGGATGGAGGAGATGGAGTCTACCGAGAGGCATTACTTGTATTTAGTATTCGTTATGGAAGTGAGTGAAGGAGTGAATGAGATGCGGTTTTTTGTTGTTGATAACGTTTAATCTTTAATCTTTACGCCCTCCGCTGTGTGACCCGCACTTGATACATGATTCTTACTTAATTCTTTATTCCTGCGCTGTAATTTAATGTAAGGTTCTGAGGGCATTTTGTGTTTTTAGTTGCTTGCAAATAAAGGCCAACGGCGTGTCATTTAAATTGTTGAACATAATTTGAATAGTTTATTGTGTGTTTCAGACGATGATCAAGTGGAATATCTGTTGTGTTTATATCTGTATATGTATCTGTGATTGCATTGCCTTGGCCGAAAGCATTCCAGGATCAGCTCGTTCGTATTCTTAGGTTGAAAGCTCCTAGTGGAGCTCCTTCGATCAGCAGCGGGCACTTCATGTGGTTGTGGAGACGGCCAGCTTCTTGAGATGCTCCATAAACAGCTGCAGCGAGACATCGTCCGTGAGCACGGGTGCGCCGCCGTCCTGTCGAGACATGCCAAAAGATAATTAGTCAAAATGATGGGCAGGGACGGACGGGGAGGGGAAATGAGAGCGAAACCAACACCAGCACCAATACCAAAAAGAAAGCAGCTTAGAAACTACATAATAACAAAGCAGATTCCCATTGAACAGTGAACAAAAATGTACTACCGTCGTCTGACCAATGGCCGGCTGCGCATGACAGGGATACGGAAACGGAAACGTATGCACAATGAACAGTGAAACAAAACCGACAAAAAAAAAAAATAAAACGAGAATTTGTTTAAGAAACTGCTGAAAAAATCATCTGTCGAGATTTGTTAGCCAGCCGAGCTGTAGCTGGTGGCTGGCTGGAACTTACCTGCCCATAGGCATACATGTTGTTGTGCGTCTGCGATGGATTGACCTTCGAGAGCAGGAAGCGCGCCTGCGAGCCGCCGTGCTCGGTGTCGATATACCGGGGCATGGGGAATCGAGTCTGCAGAATCTCCTGGGCATCGTCGACTGGGGCCTGCAGCAGCTGCTTGAAGTTCTCGTACTCGGGCATGTCCTGGTACTTGAGGGCTCGCCACTGGGCAATCGTCTCGCCGTGATAGATGAGTATCTGGAAGAACGTGTCCATCAGCAGAATGCGATCCGCCTGGATCGAGGCGGTGTCCAGCAGCACGGGCTCGGGCGGTCCGTTGAACGAGTAGCTATAAAGTATCGGCTGTATCATGATCAACGACTGGGTGAGGTCCTCGCGCATCAGCATGTGTCGGTAGAATGTGGTCTCGTCGGGTGAATTGTTGAAGACCTGCAGGAACTGCGAGCGGCGCAGGTGGTACATGAACTGCGGGAACAGACTGAAGTTCTGCGACAGCCGGAAGCTGTTCGGATCGTCCTTGGTGTACTCGCCGAACTTTTGGCACTGCAATAAGCGATATCCCCACGAAATGGTCACAAAATTCGATCCTTTCAGACATTTTCAATGGGGTGTGTACTCACCAGGCGAATTAGCTGACGATCGACCCAGCGCAGAATGTCTGGTCCCTCGTCCGTCTCGGCACGGTAGACAACCATGCGAGCCATGAGGACGGCGGCAGCTTCCTGGTCAAACCCAGCACTGATATGATGCACATTTGTGGTGGCATCAGCCCAGCTATACGTAAGGAGAAACAGAGATGTTACAGACTGCCAGCTGCGGCACCCTCTGGCGGCGGCCACTCCACTACTCACTTTCTGGCCAATGTCGTGACGCGTATGCGCCGCTGACCGCTCGGATGCTGATACTGTGTTATAAACTGTATGCAGCCGCGTCCGCCCTGGGGAATGGGGGCGGCGTGCTGGTTGACAACCTCAAAGAAGTAGGCCACCGTGGAGCTGGGATTCAGCGTGCACAGCTTCCACTGCACCGTGTTGCCCATGCCGATCTCCACATCCGACACCGACGGGCTCTTCACATTCAGCGACACACACGAGCCGATACCTCCGGAGATCTTCAGCTCGCGCGAGCACTTCACCTCCAGCGTGGCATTGAATGCCATTTTCAGATCGTTGCGGCTGTCGCGCGCAAACACGCGTTGGAATGTCTGCTTGAACAGCGACGAGTTGAACGAGTCGCCCATGACCATATGCCCGCCCGTGGAGTTGCACAGCTGCTTCATCTCCAGCAAGCCAGTCTGGTCGAGGGCGCACGAGTAGATGTCGACGCTGTGGCCATTGGTGGCGGCACGCAGGGCCAGCGCATCAAAGTGCTTTATGGCCTTTTTCATGAACTTGACGTTGTCCTTGTGAATGTCATGGTGAGAGCGAATCGGGTGCTTCAGTTCGTCGTCGACCACTTGGCCGGGGCCCTGGGAGCAAGGACCACCGACGAAGGACATAATCCGACCACCCGTATTCGGGTAGGTGCACTCCAGCAGGCCGACTGCTATCGAGAGAGCAGCGCCCGTGGAGCGCAGGTAGCGCTTGCCCTGCGGCACCGGCCAAGGGTCGCGCTGTAGCTCGCTGAGCAGATCACCCAGTGCCGCGTCGCACTGGCTGATCGGCTGCAGAAACCGGTGTGCAGGCGGCACAGGTGCTCCACCTGCCGGCGCATTTGGCCTCTGCTGGCCGGGCATCGGCTGGCCCGGCTGCCCCTGTGGGCCCGGAGCAGCGCCGCGTCCGATTCCGAGCATATCCTGCACCTGCTTGGCGGTCAAGTCCTTGGTGCCGCGGAACACGTAGCTCTTGGAGCAGCCCTCAGCCCCCAGCTCGTGCACTTGTATCATCTTGCCGAACGTAATCAGTCCGATCAGGGCATTGGGCGGCAGCAGACTGAGCGACATCTGCAGCGAATCTTTGAGTGCGTCCAGCTCCTCCTCGTCCATGCAGGTGTCGACGAGGAAAATGAAGACTGGTGGCATGGTCGGAGCCCTGGTAATGGTGTACTCAATGGTGCTGAATCCGGGAATCAGCTCAGCCGGCTGATGTTGCTCCGAAATGGCCGCATATTGAGGGGGGAACTAAAACAACACGTCAACCAGCGTCAAGGCAAAGTTCACAAATGAGTAATTTTCTACTTACCGGATTGCGCTGGAAACAAAAGTTACACACCCACAACTTGGCACGGTAGTCCACCTGGCACAGAGGGTTTAGAATGGCACGGCAGTTGCTGCGCGTGCACAGAACAGGCTCATATTGTATAGGTGGCAAGTCGGGGCGCTCCTTAAGTGGCTGGTAAAGACACGCAAGTGGCACGACCAAGCGGCTGGCATCAATGCGACTCGAGGGCCACACATTCCACGTCAGACGCACTCCGTCGCGGTCCTCGTTCTGCTGGATGAACTCCTCGTAGGTAGTCATCGTGAAAAGCCTAAATTATCTATTAATAGTTGATTATAAATTGATACTAAGTTTGCTTGCTAATTGGAAAAATCGGTCGGCCAGCCACGTCACGGATTTGACAGCTAGTTGTGTAGCAAGAAGCTTCGCGAAGTGTGCGCACAACTACCAAACAATTGGAATTCTGCTAATTTATCAAAATCAAAACAAAGTACCTTTCTGCTCCAAACTGATTTGTTTTTTAATTGAATATGTGTGTGCTATTAAATTAAACTATCTTCCGAATTCAATGTAGCTTAGCTTGAACTGTAATTCAGTGAACTGTGAGTGTAAGCGATACCATCGCAAGTGAAACGGTTATTTGTGTATTCAATTTCAAATGTAAACATGCAACTGACTGGTTTTCTTATATGCAGATATGCTAAATATATATAATTACATGTGTAGTTGTGAATTTTAAGATCGGAAACTAGCATTTCAAAGTAATATTTAATAAACATAATAAATATTATTTAAATGTATCGATGCATCGATAAGGTAATGTATCAACAGTCCCAATGCAGCCCTGATGCAGCTGTTCACTCGTATGTATATGCGTATGTGTGTGTGTGTATTTTTTAGAGTTGAGTTGTTTCTAAGATGGCGACGAAAAAAACGCGTCTTATGTGAAATGCAATCATAACAACTTCAATTTTATGCTAATAAATGTGCCCTGACTTGAGACAAAACTATTGAAAAAGAGTGCTGAGCAAGTGTATTCAATTTTACATGTGAAAGTTTGGTGCGAAACTGTAGTGAAAATGGCCACAAATATGTATCGAGTCGGAGGTGAGAAAATTTTTTTCCGTACTCGCTTTTCTATCATCTTTCGTTATCGGCGCCGCCGTCTCACAGTTTCGCCTGCCCATCGTATGCCCATGTGTGCGTGTGTGTGTTTTGTCTGAGGAGAGACTCCAGAGCAAGGAATAATGAAAGTGCATCTTAATTACAACAAATTCTTAGCTGGGTCTCCCACTCATATCCATGTGTGTTATCAAAAGCATTGATAAACCCCACTCTGACCGCCAATAAGAACCTGCACTCTCAAAATATGTGGTTGGTTGTTTGCTAAATGCCGGAATGAGACGAGCTTCTACAGCGTAGATGATGTGTCGAAATCAACCATGAAACATTGGACAGCAGCGAGCCTATGAGGCAGATAGTCAGTCGGTGGAGGGGTGGATGGGATTGTGCATTGAACCAACAAAATTGTCGCAGCTGCAGCAAGTGTTTCAACATGTTCTGTTCCTCCCGATAAGCACCCAGAGCTCGTTCGCTTGCTAATGTGTGTGTGTGTGTGTGCGCGGTGTATGCTTTAGGGTGGGGGTAATGATGGAAACGAAATGAAATGGAATTGCATTTGCCAAATTGTGATTTCTATTGGTGTGTGTGTGTGTGTTTTCGTGTAATTGTGTGGGTAAAAGTGTATCTCATTTTTGTGCGCCTCCATGCTTTGTTGTGTTTTCTTATGCTAATGAGCTTTTTCGGGTTTCGGCTGAGCATCTTATGGTTTGGGTTCTGAACGATTTGGTTGTTCCCTGCCTACTACTTCCATCTTTACGCACTTTGCACGTTGGCCTATTGTCGGCTCGCTCACACCTCAGCGATGACGTTGCCGCTCGTCTCTATATGCAAATGAACGGAAAAAGCAAGCGGCTAATTAACCAAATCAAAATAAATACCAAAACTATATTAACACCGATGTGGGAATGCGTACATATACATATATCTGATTGCCTTTCTGGCACTTTTCCTGCGGGCGATTACTCGGCCCGGCCCATTCTGTCTCAGAATTTTGTCTCCATCAGCGCTTTTTGTTTGCCATTTTTAATGGCCACGCACACGCACACTCGGCCACATACAATACGCCAAGTATTGGTAGATACATATGTATATACGAACGGTACCACACTTTCTTTTTCATCTCTCTCCATCTTGCATGGCCAGCGAAATGTTACCAAATGTTGCCCAAGACAAGACAAGACACAGACAGCACAGTTGGCTTTTAGTTTTTTTCTTTTCTTTTCTTCTAACATTTTATTGCCGAGTGGTCAGCCCCAAGCAACGGTATTGTATCTGTTTCTGCGACAGGTTCGCGATGCAGCGATCACGATGCAGTTGTTGTTGTTGTTTTTGCTGCTCTGCTGCTGCTTTGCTCGATGGATTGGATGGATGGATGCCCACATTTGTATTTAATTGAGCAACGCAGCTCGCATACTTCTGACTGTGTGTGTGTGTGGCCGTAATTAAGCGGCATGTCCACGTATGCATGTGTGCGTTTACCTGTGACGTATGTAATGCCTGCTAATGAATGGAGTTGCAATATGTGGCTCCCCTGCCCACCCCTTCACGCCAGCATGCCACCATGCTACCATTCTCGACGCGACTCTATGTACAGTTGTGGTAACCCCCCCTCGTTCGTTTCGTTGCAGACTACGTGTACGTTGAGACAACGCCGAATAGTCCCTACCTGATACGCCGCATCGAGGAGCTGAACAAGAACCAAACCGGCAATGTGGAGGCGAAGGTCATGTGCTTCTACCGGCGTCGTGATCTGCCCAACCCACTGGTGCAGCTGGCCGACAAACATCAACGTAAGTATCCGCCATATGCGGTCGCTTAAGAACCAACAAAACGATTCTCTTTTTTTATTGTATTCGTATGCTTTTTTTTTTGGCAACAAAGTGAGGTTAGGTTGCGAAAAGTCGTCGTCGTTGTCGTGGCCTTCAAACAAGTTGAAAGCTAATACCTCCCAAAAACAGATCCCTAGCCTTAAGCACATTTTCACCACAAACACCAAAAAGCAGAGCGGGTAGGAATATAGCAAAGTCCGCCACCCCCACCACACCCCGGTAAGGCGGCCAGTGTGCAATGTGTCAAGGCATTCACTTCCACAAAAGCCACCAGGCCACCCACACCCGCACCCCCGCCAAAGCCAAACATCAAGAGCAACAAGAACCTCACTGACAACAACTGTAAAGCACACACAAAGTGAGGAGAAAACGGAATGCCCAGCATCCGTCGCATCCGTAGCAGCAGAAGCATCAGAGACCAGGCAGAGCCACATAAACATAATGTGTTGAGCTGCACTGTACCCAATGTCTCTGCTGCTGTTGCTGTTACTGTTTTCGGTTGCTGCTAGGCGGCGCCAACGCCAATGCCAACGCCATAGCACAGCGTCAATGTGAATGTGATACTCTCGAGAGTAGTAGGTAGACTTGCTGTCTACCTCTGAATGCTACAACCATACATACATACGACAAGTATATGTATGTGTGTGTGTTTGATTCTGTGTCTCTGTGTGTGTGCACGAAAATTTTCATGAGTGCTATAGAAGAAGTGGGACGTGGGTGAGGAGAGGAGAAGTGGGATCAGGAGCCATACCCCAATGTGGCACACGCAGAGGCGCGCTTTGCATTCATGTATACATACACACAGGCAGGGTTCGCCTCCCTTTTTTATTTCGCCCCCCTCTTTCTCGCTCTCTCTCCGCAGCCCCAAAAAAAGCATACTGGACTGTACTGAATGGGATGGGGATGGGATGGGGCACTGGGTTTCGACCAGTGCCGCCCGCTCGAACTCGATACGTGACCCAACGAAAATGCGTTTTCCGTGAGGAAGCCAGCCCAGCCCCCTTCCCATCCCATCCCAGCCAGCAACCCACTCGCCCTACGACATGCGCCGACAATGCCCATTAACGCAACCCCTTTCGCTCCCAACATGGGTCCGCTGTCATCTCGTTTCTGCTGCCCTGCCCAGTGGAGTTGGAGCTGGGAGCTGGGAGCTGTAGCACGAGCCGAGTGAGTACCCAGTGCGTGCGCCGTGCGCCGCCTTTTGGCGGGCCACTCACTAATCAGGCAAAAATTAGCACAAAAATCTAAAGTTTGAGCACAAGTGTGCCGCTATTCCAACCCCAAAACTGCTTCGAACTGCTAAGCGACCCACGACCTATGCATACCCTACCCTGCAGTCGTCCAAGAGATTCACGATGATAACAGATTCAAATTCGAAGCATGATAAGAATCTAACAATATCGAGGTTCAAGTATTGCTAGGGTTAGCGCTGCCAGGCCTAACACAATCCAAATTTATTGTTGCTAAAGTGTTGGCCACAAAGTCAATAGGAATAGACATCAGGCAGAGTACAGGGACAAAATCTCAAAAATAACCAAACGGCATGCTTCCTTCCTATGCTGCCTCCCACGCCAGGCAAACAAATCCAACCACGCCCCACCCACTACAGGGCCATTTGCTTGTGGGTGTCTGGCTGTGTATGTGTGTCCTATCTATGGCCGCCAAACAGCCACTCACCCCCAACCACGCGAACACCCCCCAACCCTCGGCTGATGTCGTTGTCTTCTCTGCGAGAGCTTCAAACACACAAACACACAAATACACAAAAAACACCTAATACCTACGTTGCTTTGGTTCTTCCTGTAACTCTAGAAATGCACCCACGCCCCTGTGTATTCGTGTATATCTGTCCGTGGGGGTGGGCTGCAACTCGACTTCTACCCCACGCCCTTTCCCTGATTCTGCTCTGGTGTGCAGTGGGTGGAGGAAAAGGTGAATATTTTCTAATCAGCCGCCGCAAAGTTTCAAGAGAATAAAATCCTCGAGGGTATCTAGTGAGTTTAAATCATGCAGTCCGCAAAAGATAGGATTGGAGGTAGAATTTGTGGGTTATTAATAAAATTTATTTTTCTGACCATTTTAACTCCATTTTAATTCAAAAATATATTTAAAAAAAAAAATTAAATAAATCGCTACGACATTTTTTAATCAGACACGATAACCGAGAGCAGGTTTATATTAATTAAATCATATAAAAAATACATTTGTTGATGTAATTAATAATATTTCATTGAGCTTACTAATTTTGCAAACTTTAAAAATTTTAACAGTCTTTCAAAATTTCCCAACGCAAAGGAATTATTAGATAAAAACCTCTGGAACGAAATATTTTAACTTTGTAGAACATTCGACCAGCAGTGTTCAGTGCTCCATTACTGTGAAAACTGATTAAAATTTGTTGTGTGTTTTGCAGGAAACAAAATGATACAATAATAGAATAGATATGAATCATAATCTTTGAATTTTCAATAGCCATTCCTATTTTTCAACACTGATATTTGGCTTTGATCTTAGGTTCAAGGTTGCTTATTAAGTGCCCCTTTTCTGTGATTTTTTAAATTTATCAATGTCATCGAAGAGTAGTTGCTCTGTGGCCACAGTTTCCTCACTTAGGCTCTCCTTCAATCGGGCTGCCTCTTCGACTATGCGTCGGTTTGCTTTAGCCATATAGTCCAAGTTGTGTCCCAAGATAACTCCATAAAGTCCCGTCCTAATTTCAGCGAATGATTCTAGAAATTTTCAAAAATGAATCTTTTCCGATTCTGAATCTGACTCCGTTGGTACGTTAGTGGGTACGGCATTAGTCAGGCTCTGTGGATCGATTAGATGCTGATTCTGGTTTAGTTCTCAAAGTAAAAGTTCTCACCGGTACGGCCAGGACTATAATCAGACAGAACTGCATCTTGCAATGTTTCAAATGGAACTGCAATTTTCCGATCGTGCTCGTAAGTTTTTATAGTAGTCGCAGTTGGACTACTTTGACATTAGTTGTGGCAATTATCGGCGTTTTCTAAAAATACGTACGACCGTCGGGTTCATCCAGCTGGACTCGGCTCCTACAGAGATAATTTCAAAAGAAAATATAAGGAAGAAAGAAATACAAAGAAATTTTATATTAATTTTTTAAATTGAGAGAGCTATTTGTTTCGGTACACAGATGTTGATTATTGAATGATTCTACTATGCATTCAATATGTGCATTATAAATGAAATATTGAAGCTTATTAAGTGTTGGGCAGACCTTTTGAATTCCTTTCGGCGAAACTCGAGTCGAGCAGCGTTACATTACAGCCTTGCACGAACAGGCAACCGAATCGATTTGGTGGGATTAAACATTAAATTTGGGTGTTTCTCCTGCCAGACGACGACTTTTTAAAGTGTGAATTATTCTTTATTTTGTAGCTAACCTCACTTTTAGCTGGACAGTGTTTATTTAATATTTAACGATTATTTAATTTAAAACTACCATTGCTTGAAACATGAACATTTGTAAATAAACGTATATCCCCCCCAAATGCACAAAACAAAAAAAACCAAATCAAATCAAATCGAATTGAATGGTAAAAACAGTGGCCACAGCCGAGGACTCACCGCTGGCGACCAAGCTGAAGAAGACCTGGCTCCGCACACCCGTGGGCGAGGAGCAGGCAGCGCAGGCTGTGCTCGATCCCTCAATAGGTACTACTACAAACCACACACAATCACAACAGCAAACAGCTGTCTTTCTCTATACATAATTTATGAAACTTTAATCGTAGCTCGAACTATATTTTTGGGAATGCCAACTATTTAATATTCTCTTATTTATACTATCGATCTCCCCAGCCCTAACGCTTATCCCTATTATTTTATGTTTGTCAAAGCTCTCACTGCTATATTCTTTTAGTTTAGTTGTTAATTTATGTTGTGTAGATCTCTCTCTCTCTGTCTCTTTTTGTCTGTCTATATTTTTCTCACTTGATTCTCTTGGTGCTTTAACTGTATTGGTCGTCTGCTTTTCAGCTGCCTTGGATGAGGAGCGCACAAGTCCGACGCAAGCGTCTGGCGGCGGCACTGGCGGTGCATCTGCAACCAGCAACAATGCTGGCAGCACCACTACCACCACCACAACCAACAGCAACAACAACAATAATAATAACAACAGCAGCAGCAGTGGTAGCGGCAGTGGCACTGGCAGTGGAGGCGATGCGGAAAAGGGCGAGGCGCTGACCAGCAAACAGCGCTACCAGATCAAGCACCGCGAGCTGTTCCTCTCACGCCAAGTCGAATCGATACCCGCCACACAGATACGAGGCAAGTGCTCCGTGACGCTGCTCAACGAGACGGAGTCCCTGCAGAGTTATCTAAATAAAGACGTGAGTCGTAGTTGGTAGAGGCAGCGACACAGACAGTCGGTGTTAAGCCTTTCCGTTTACCTTCTTAACAAATTTTCTGTATTCAAAATGTTTATTCTTTTTGTTTTTTTTTCATTGTGACGCCTTACAGGACACATTCTTCTACTGTCTGGTCTTCGATCCCAATCAGAAAACACTGCTCGCCGACAAGGGCGAGATACGTGTCGGCAGTCGCTATCAGTGTGATATTCCCGCCAAGCTTAAAGACACCGTCACGGACGAGCGCAAGCTGGAGGAGCTGGAGTCACTGGTATGGACGCCAGAGCACACACTGACAGATCGAAAGATCGATCAGTTTCTCGTCGTCTCGCGTTCCATTGGCACCTTCGCCCGAGCCCTCGACTGCAGCAGTTCTGTGAAGCAGCCCTCGTTGCACATGTCGGCAGCGGCAGCCAGTCGGGACATCACACTGGTAGGCAATCGAAAACCGGCTAAACTAATTCCCCATTTCTGCTAGTATTGATGGTATTTCTCTTTAGTTTCACGCCATGAATATTCTGCACAAGCACGACTACTCGATTGAGGAGGCCATGTCCTCGCTAGTTCCTTCCACTGGACCGGTGCTCTGTCGCGATGAAATCGAGGACTGGAGCGCCTCGGAGGCAAATCTCTTCGAGGAGGCGCTGGACAAATATGGCAAAGACTTTAACGACATTCGACAAGATTTCGTAAGTAAACAATCGCTGGCTATTGCCATTGATCGACGTCTTACAATTTTCCCATTTTTCTATCCGATTTTAGCTGCCTTGGAAAACGCTGAAGCAAATCATCGAGTACTACTATATGTGGAAGACCACCGATCGCTATGTGCAGCAGAAGCGCGTGAAGGCTGTCGAGGCGGAGCTGAAGCTCAAGCAGGTCTACATACCGCAATACAATAATAATGGTGGCAAGGGAGGCGGCAACGGAGCCTCTGTCAAGGCGGGTGGTGGTGGCGGCATTTACAATGGCACCACCAACGGCGGCACCGATCTCTCAAGCAACGGCAAACCCTGCGAATCGTGCGGAACAACAAAATCATCACAGGTATACAGCATATAGGACATTTAGTAAATTGCAGTAGCCAGACAATTCTTAAATCTATACCCGCTCCCTCCTCGCAGTGGAACTCGTTTAGCACCGGTCACATTACGTGTCGTCTCTGCCAAAGCTGTTGGGAATACTGGCGGAGGTACGGCAGTATGAAGTCTGCGAATAAGGGCGACGCCAGCAGCGACAGTGATGCAAAGAAGAAGGCCTTGGCTGCGACGACGCCCACGGCTACCGCTGCAGCAGCGGCTACAACACCCACAGCGGTAGTCGACCTCAACGATGACGAGAAAATCAGTGATCTAACCAATCGTCAATTGCATCGGTAAGTGCCTCTTCGGTCTGGCATCCCATGCATAATATCTTACCACCCAACTCTGACATGGCAGGTGTTCTATTGTCAATTGCGGAAAGGAGTTCAAGCTGAAGACCCACCTGGCACGCCACTATGCGCAAGCGCACGGCATTGCCATCAGCTCTGGCTCTCCGCGGCCCATCATGAAGACGCGCACTGCCTTCTACTTACACACCAATCCAATGACGCGCGTGGCGCGCGTCATCTGCCGCAGCATTGTCAAGCCCAAGAAGGCGGCGCGACAAAGCGCCTACGCCATCAATGGCCAGCTGGTTAAGCAAGAATGTAAGTCTACGATTTATAACACTCAAACGTTGCTGAACCATGCCCTTCTTACTCCTCATGTTTGGTTTAGTTACGAATCGTATTAGCGGCAAATCGCAGGCGGAGATCAAGAAGCTGCTATTGCTCAAGCCCAAGGATCGTGGCAGTGTCACTAAAATCGCCAATCGCCTGGGGGCGCCTGGCAGCGGCCCACACGAGTGGCTGGTGCTGACGCCCAAGGACAAAATGCCGCTGCCCGCTGTCGTCTCATTCCCCAAGCCGCCCAAAGCAGCGGATGGCAGTTTAGTCTACGATCGCGTGCCCAACAAAACGCCCGACATTGTGGCCGTGCCGGCCGAGAAGGAACTAACTATAATTCCAACGCAAGCAACATCAACGATACGAAAGCGGGCGCACGAAGAGCAGCAGCTGAACGGCACTGAAGGTATGTGAATATTATATTATTCACATATACAACCGTGTTATACTATATTTATTTCTGTTGCAGTAACCATAGTTCCCAGTGGACCGCCTCCAAAGAGGCCGAACAAAGATCCTATGCCCTCGCATTGTCCCAGTCCCGAGCAGTTTGCCGCCATGATGGCGGCATCGGGACAACCGCTCTCCAGACACCATGTGAGTCACCGCCAGATATGCTTGATTCGATCCCAATTGATCAATGATTCTAATTATTCTTTCAGCTCAATGGCAAACAGAAAATTGCGCAAATGGCCCGAGGCGGAAACGGACGCAAGCAGGTCATCAGTTGGATGGATGCGCCGGACGATGTTTACTTTAGGGCAAACGACACACACAAGTGAGTGGAAAACAGCAAATGGATTTTAGATTTTAAGAAATTCCTTAAATGCTTTGCTTGTGCATTTTAGAAAATCGCGAAAAATACTCTCTGCCGTGGATCTGCGCCGTGCGGCGCGCAAACCATGGCGCACACTGCCCATCAAGCCTCTGGCTCCCGAGCCGAGTAGCAGGCCCATTGAATCACAAATCGTCATACTGGACTGACCGTCGCCGGCACACACAACAGGAACATCAGCAGCATCAGCAGCAGCATCGCCAGCGGCAACCAAGTTGTTATCGTCTTCAGCAAACAGCAGATTCGAGCAGCAACATCCTCCATTTCCATACACCATGGATGCACTGCTTAACTAGTGACCATTCTCCGATTTAACTGGCTTGCCATGTACATACAACATACAACATACACACACCCCGCATGCATACCATAGTAAACAAACATCCAACAGACAGACATACCAGACAACCCGCATTCAAGTTAGGATCAGGCAGGAGTTACAGCATCATCCCTGTATGACTTGGTATTGGTGTTGCAGAGCCGGGAAAGAGAATCGAACGGCGAACCGCGAACCGAACCGATAGCAACCACAAAACAAAACAAAAACCACTTTATTAGCGCTTAAATAGATGTCTTTTTAAAAAACAAATAGTAAGATAGTAAGTGTTAAGGTCTGTAGTAGCAGTAAACAGGACAGGACGCAAAAAGGAAAACCATAACAAAATATTTATAAATATTTTATATTTTTTTAAATTTAAAAATCTCAACATACCGAATACCCAAACACACACACACATAAGTCCGGCAAATGCACTGCCACTTTGGTAGTGTAGTTCGCCACACAAAGCATGAAACTCAAATGATCGTTCTCGTTTAGTCATTCAGCGTGTTCTTTTTTTAAAGGAATAAATCCAATCCCTTGCATGGTTTCATTCTTGAGTATATGTATATGCATGTGTATGTGTATGTCATATATGCAAGGTCCCGCGATATATGATATATGTATGTTTTCTGTCGTAGATACTTTCTAAACGCGCTTCAAAGTTCCACTTTATATTTTTTAAGCCTAAAACCCCCCCCTAGCTAAGAACCAGATACGTAAATGAAATTGAAAGGCCTCTACCCGTAATTTTAAATATTTTCAGTCCAAAATTGAGTACGGGAATTGTTTGAATGCTTTAAATTGTAGAATGGGGAGAAATGTAACCTTGTTAATGTTAATCAGTGACAGTGACAGTGACAGTGACACGTGCAAAATGATACAAACATATTGATTTATGCTGTAACTAAACAATGGAATGCTTGAGTAACAATTGTACAGTAAAGAGTTTAAAGATAAAATTCGAATAAAATGTATTTTCATAATTTATATAAACGAAAGTTCAGTACTCTAAAGAGCGATAACATAGTAGGACCCCCACATCCATACCCACACCCAAAAACACAGACACAGCCACAACCACAACCACACACACACACACATCTAGAATATTATTTACGCATATAAATCCATAAGAAACTAAGCTGCAAAATACATTTAAAAATGTATGGCATGGCATAATAACGAGAGGAGATAACAGTTTCAAAAAAAAAATATAAAAACAAAAAAAACAAACAGAGAATGTCTAGACTCTAGCCTAGAACAGCCAGGGCAAGCGGAAAACAGAACCAGCAAATCATAAACAGAAAAAAAACATTTAATAAATGATTATAAAGAAATTTCGATTGTAAGCCAATATACTTTTAACTTAACATCTTAAGCAATTTTGTAAAATAAAACACTTCAAATTAAAATGGTTAGTTAAGTGAAGGAGAAGTCGGAGACGGAGACGGATGGATCGCGAGTGGTGCAAATAATAATACTGAAAATACAGTCCCCGAAGCAAACATGACCACAGCTAAAGCCGCGCGAATGTTAAGCAAGCAAACAAACAAACGATTTAAGTTGTTTTTATTTCCAAAAACGAAACACACACAGACACACATTTAAATCCAAGATCAGAAGAGAACCACTGCAATTGAAACTGCAACAGAATAAAACAAACAACAAAAAGAGAGACAAGCAACAGAAGCAAATCAAACAGAGCTATATAAATAATTATATACTTATATATATATATATTATATACAGATATACAGTGTAACAGTACATACGCGCATTGGATAATACATTTTTACAGAGCAGAGAGTTCTTCGCGCCAAACGACGAAGACGGACGGACGGACAGGACGTGTGAGACAACAAGCAACCGACAAGTTTTCCAAATAAAGTTTTAAAACTTAACATTTTTCCTAAAAATATGCAAAACATTCAGGGTTTTTATTTCCGTGGATATAACAATGAAAAACAACAATAATGTAAAAGTGTCCGCTCTACTCTTCGGAGTAGCTGGCAATGCATAGGGAGGCATTGGTGCCGCCAAAGCCAAAGGAATTCTTCAAAGCTACGCGCCTTGCCTGCCCCTGCGACCATTCGCAGGCTTTGGTCACCACATTCACATCCACATCCATCTGGTCAATGTTGATGGAAGGCGGCAGCGTATTCTCCGCGCAGGCGTGCACCACAAAGAGTGCCTCCAGGCTGCCAGAGGAGCCCAGCAGGTGTCCGTGGGAGCCCTTGGTCGAGGATACTTGAACCTGTGGTGTGTGTTCGCCAAACACTCGTCTAATGGCATGCGATTCGATGCGATCGCCAGTGGGTGTGGATGTGGCGTGGGCGTTTACGTAGCTGATCTCCGCAGGGCTGACACCACCGTCCTTTAGGGCTCGCTGCATGGCCAGTGTGGCTCCAGCCCCATCCTCGCTGGGTGATGTGATGTGGTGTGCATCGCCCGAGAGGCCATAGCCCAGCAGCTCCGCCAGAATGGGGGCGCCACGGGCGCGTGCATGCTCAAGTTCCTCCAGCAGGAGCACAGCTGCTCCCTCGCCCATCACAAAGCCATCACGCGCCTTGTCAAAAGGTCGCGAAGCCACGGCTGGGTTATCATTAAATGCGGTACTGAGGGCGCGCAGTCTGCAGAAGCCAGCTATTGACAGTGGGTCGATGCAGGCCTCCCCGCTTCCCGCTAGCATCACATCCGCATCGCCGTTGCGAATGAAGCGCATGGCATCGCCCAGAGCATGGGCTCCAGTCGCGCAAGCGGTCGAAACGGAGTGGTTGGGCCCGCGCAGACCGTGCCGCATGCTGATGTGGCCACATGCCATGTTGGGCAGCAGTCTTGGCACAAAGTAGGGACTGACCCGATTGTAGCCTCGCTGCAGCTGGTTCCAGGTGTTGTAAACCTCCGCCAGATCGAACATTCCCATTCCGACACAGACACCAAAGCGTTCCCGCTGCTCCTCACTGAGCTCCTTTGGCTTGAGATTCCCCGAGGCCAGAGCTTCCTCCGCCGCCAGTACAGCCAGTTGCGTGGCAGGGCTCATTAGTTTGATGTCTGTCTTGCTCAGATGCGTGTCCAGCTGCAAGTTTTCCCTCACAATTTGTGCTGCAACCTGACATGGCAAGCCCTTGAACTCCGGCCCCAGCTGGGAGATTGCGGACTCGCCGGCCAGCACACGCCGCCAGGAGTCCGGCACATTGTTGCCCAGCGGCGTTACGGCTCCACTGCCAGTGATCACCACGCGTCGTCGTCCAGCTTGCGTCGAGGAATTCCGGGCCAGTGGAGCAATTAATTTGGAATTCCGTAAAAAGCGCATTTCGCTGCAGCGTAACTGAAACCGGTCGATTGTACTATATCGATATATCGACTACATTTCTTTGTTTTCCAATCAGATTCCAATCGGAAACAGCTGTGCCAGGGGGGGCGGTTTCAAAGTTCTGATATTATTGTACGTACAATTGTAATACAAAATTAAATAAATAAATTGAGAAAACTAAAAATTTAAAAATAAAAAATAATATATAAAAATATATTTTAATTTATAATTATAGAAATTAAAATAACAAAGTTAATAAAAATTTAATAAAAATAAGCAACAATAATAATATGCTTAAACTTGTAGCGCTTTTAAATAATTAAAGTAAATAAAATTCTCTCAGATGGGGGGTATATACGGCGATTCCTATCTAAATTGGCAAATTATTTTTTTGAATCCATTCCACTTGAAAACTGAGTGAATGCGTCTTCTTATCTGTTCACACATAAGTATGTATGTATGTACGATATACAACAGAGCAACAAGTTGTTTTGATACGATTGCCGAGCATTGTACATACATTTATATTGATACCGGTTCCATACTTGAAAGAGAGCAGCACGTATAAAAGTCTCGCTCCACATCAGACGATACTCATTTGCGTTCCGCTGTTCTTTGGTTCCACTCCACAACAAACTTGCAGAGCAATGTCTAAGAATTGTAAGAAATTTCGCAGTACTCCGTCACGCCCCTCGAAATCTTTGACTAAATGAATACAAGTGGAGAATACATATAGGAATGTTGATAATCCGAATTGTTTTTCTGCAGCATGTTGTCGCGGTCCCGGTTACGCAACGCCGTTGGATGCCATGAAGAGCGGGCCCCGGGAGAAGCTCCTCTACACGGTGACGGTGCAGCCCAACTTGGATGAGCCCCACGGCGACTATCTGTCAACAATCGACGTGGACCCCGAAAGCCCCACCTACTGCCAGGTCAGAAAACAAACAGTCTTCGCTCTCCCACTTGGCCTGATGAGCTTCATGTTGATCCATAGATAATTCATCGCACGTTCACGAATCGGAAGGGGGACGAGCTCCATCACTCGGGCTGGAATGCTTGCTCGAGTTGTTACTATGTGGACGAGAATGCAAAAAGCGTTCCGAAGAGGGACAAATTGGTATTGCCGGCCCTGAACTCGGACTTTGTGTACATACTCGATGTGGTGAAGGATCCGCGGAAGCCCGAAATCATAAAGGTCATCGATGGGGAGGTGCTGAAGAGTCACAATGTGACGGGACCCCATACGACGCACTGCCTGGCCAATGGAAACATAATGATATCTGTGATGGGCGACGCCGAGGGGAATGCCAAGGGGGATTTCATTCTGTTCGACTCGGACTTCAATTGCATCGGCACCTGGACCAAGGGGGCAAAGAAGGCCTTGTGTGGATACGATTTCTGGTATCAGCCCTATTTTGATGTAATGGTTGCATCCGAGTGGGGAGCTCCCAATAAATTTCGACGGTTAGTACTCGTAGTGAAGGGACTTTAAGGATTATTAATTATTATTTGCATACCCTTTGCAGTGGCTGGCAGAGCGGAGATCTGGAAGACATGACCCAGTACGGTTGCAGGCTCAACTTTTACAAATGGTCCACGCAAACATTGTACCAAACCATTGATTTGGGTACGGATGGGATAACGCCCCTGGAGATTCGCTTTCTGCATGACCCAAAACGGGCCGAGGGTTTCGTCGGATGTGCCTTGAACGCCAAGGTGTTCTACTTCAGGAAGAAGCCGGACTCCGATGAGTTTGAGGCGAAGAAAGTGATTGACATTCCGGGCAAGCTGGTGGACACGGGCAGTGGCACTGCAGAGGACATGGGTGGCATGATTTCAGATATTATAATTTCGCTGGATGACAGATTCCTCTACGTAAACTGTTGGAGGCACGGCGATGTGCGGCAGTACGACATCAGTGATGCCGCAAATCCGAAGCTGACTGGCCAGCTATTCCTGGGAGGTGCCATATGCAGCGACCTACCCAACATCATTGTCAAGGAGGATAAGGAACTGACAGTGAGTGTTGAATGAAACAGAATAATATCTTTATTCGAAATCGCATTGCACAGGAGCGACCACCAGCACGCTATGTAAAAGAACGCCGCTTGGAGGGTGGACCACAGATGATGCAGCTATCCCTGGACGGCAAGCGCTTGTATGTCTCCTCATCGCTATACTCACCCTGGGACAAGCAGGTGAGAGCAGCTTCCATTGATAAAACTATGTCGCAGGTGTGTGCAATCCCCTTTTCCATTTCAGTTTTATCCCAAAATGGTGTCCAAGGGCGGTCATGTGTGCATGATTGATGTGGATACCGTGAATGGCGGCATCTCGTTGAATGAGGACTTTTTCGTGGACTTTGGCAACGAGCCATACGGTCCTGGCCTGCCCCATGAAATGCGCTATCCTGGTGGCGACTGCACTTCCGACATTTGGCTGGCCAACGATGCGTAAAGAACTCCTTTCAGCAGCTGGCATTTTAATTCCAAAAGTTAATTATTTTATTGAAATTAATGTTTGGAGATATCTCCTTCTCATCTCTCATTCCTCATTCGTGATATCTCCGAACTGGAGACATCGCCGGTGTATCGCTTTTTCGTCACATTAAAATCCAAAAGCAAGTTTTGGGTTTAATCTATGCATAAAGTTTATAATCTGCGAACTGGTGGAAGCAGCGACGTTTATCTGGTCTAATAACTTTCCAGTACCAAGGGCTAAAACCAAAACGATGTTCTTGGTGACCTGCTCACCGTCGTCAGTATAACATTTTCATTGGGCAGCTTCATCAGGTTCAGCAAGCGTTGTCCACTGCAATAGCCACAAGATCTACATATGGCATGCAACAGGGATTTTGGAAATCTACTTACTTTTGGTCGCAGGTGCAGTCAATAAAATTCTTGGCCAGTCCGTTGAGTAAATGTTGGTGGAAGAAGAAAATGTGCACCAAGTAGGCCAGACTGCAGGGCATCAGCAGCTTGGCCCAGGGTATCCGCTGCAGCTTGTCTCTGCCTGGGTCACGGGTGCACAACTGCTGCCAGATCACCTGGGTGGCTGTGACGGCGGCAAAGCTCATGAAGGTCAGGCGATTGAGCAGCGCAAAGGATGCGCCACTGACAAATGCCGCCACTGCGTTTGCCGGCCTCAGCTTCAGCCTCATTTTGAGCATTAGCCACTGCATCAACTGGAATAAAAGCGAAAGCCCCATGGCTGGTCTACTAGGCTGCTACAGATGTGGGCAGGGGGTAACATACTTGAAAGAGACCCATGTAGCTGACCAAGAATCGCGTTGTGTGCAGTCGCAGGCGCATCAGATTTCGCCGCATCAGGGCGTGGCCCAAGTCCAAAGCTAGACCAATGCCCAGATAGGTTCCCAGTTGTGCTAGACGCTGCCTGAGGCGCCTGGCCACCGGCCATTTGGTGTAGTCCTCCGGCAAAGGGGTTGGCTTGATGAACCAGAAGCCCGAATACTTGCGCGCCTGCTGATAGTGCAGCACCGCCAGGGAGCTCAGCATGAATACCAGCGTCTGGCCCCAACGCGAATGCACCAGACCGATGTCCAGCTGTCGCAGCAGGCTCTCCAAGGCCTGCAAGGATCATGCGTGTGCTCATTTTAAAGTTTCTGGGGACTCCACTCACCGCATGTGTAATGCCAGTCACAAAGTAGAGCAGCACCTGAGGTGGCATCCACCAGCTGAGCTGGGAGGCCAGCCAACAGGACAGATACGGCGTACAGATGAACACGAAGCGACCGTTGAGCCGCCGAGCCAGGCACATGAAGTAGAATGTGAACGCATTGATGCAGGCGGCAAAGCTGACGGACTGCACATAGTTCCTCACTATGGCCTTGAGCGTTCCCTTGGAGAGTTTGCGCCACTTGAAGAGCAATGGCAGCTGCAAGGAATGGCAAAATTTCCAATATTTATCGTGGGGCATTTACTGCACTAGCAGACCAGCAACAAGGGCGAGTAGTATTTCGCACTGGACACATGATTGCGGTAGATATTCCAGAGCAGGGCATGCGTGCAGCTCTGTCCTGGACGGCTGTGCAGGACGCAGCAATGCAAGCGATTCAGGGGCCTCTCTAGCAGTTTGCTTGGCGCTACGGCCATGTCGCGTTGACTTTTCGGCACGGACTGTCCATCCCAGGCCGAGCGGCCACCAAAAGCTCGCCACTTGGACTGGTTCAGGTCGGAGGTTAATATGCAAAACATTGGAAAAGTTTATTTGAACGGAATGCACACATAACACACAAACAGAACTACTCTATAATCGATTCAGCACAGGCGGGCGAGGCGCTTTCTTATGTTTAATGCGCTGTGGAAACAAAATACGAAACTGTAGGTTGAGCAGCTGCTTAATCCATTCGACTTACTAGTTGGCTGTGGTGCTGTCGATGATGACGCCGGAGAGTACGCTGACCCGCTGGAACGGCAGCACGTAGTTGTGTATGAGGTATGCCAGGGCAGCGGGAAACGCCACATCGCCAAAGCCATAGCCCTGACGCTTGTTTGGCTCCTTCTTCGCTGCTTGGCGGCTCGCCCACAGTGTGCGAATGGCCTCCAGCAGGGCGTAGCTTAAAATGGTGGGTTTCGGATAGAGCAGATAGCTGAGGCCCCCCAGGAAGCCAGCCAAGGGATGCCTGAACGAGTCCCTGAGTCCCACGGGACTGTGCCGCAAAAGGCAGTGAACGGCCTGAAAAAGTAGAACTTTGGATTATGGTGCAGTATGGTGTATGGTGATTATGGTGTGTCCTTTACCCTGTAGATGCCCACGTAGCAGCCCAGCCAGGCGGTTGATTGGAGTCTAAGATGCCTCAAGTGCCACTCGCCTTCGTTTGTGCAGCTGATAATGGCCCTGAAGAGATCCAAAAGGAGTCCAATCACCAGATAGTTGCGTATGCCACACACCAAGTGGAGAGAACAGTCGGGCTCGGCGTGTGTGCATCCCTTGCCATGGCGATGAGGAGTATCAACGGGCGGTGCAGCGTCGGGCGTTAGGAACCAAAAGCCATTATGGCCAACGCGTCTCCGTTTGCCCTCCAGGACAACGGCGCTGCAGCTCATGAAGATCAGGGCCTGCAGGGGCAGGCAGAGAGTAACGGCTCTGGCCAGCGGATTGGAATGCAGCAGAAGACTCTCAATGAGCTGGAAATGGATGACAAAATCATGGAATGAATTATGTGTAGATCCCTCTACTCACCGACTGAAATATAGCCGTGTGCTGCAGATGCTTCACGCGCCTGGGGAAGCAAGCACAGACGCTGCCCCCAATGGCAGCCGGAACGAGTAGCAATGTGTACAGATGGAACTTTCCCAGCAAGTTGCTGTAAGAAGCAAACAATGGAACAGTCAGTCAGTCAGTCCCGCAGTCAGGTTCGGCTATCAGACATACCGTAGGCTGCACATGGAGATCGATATGAGGCTGGCATTCGCCACGCCACCAATTACCAGCTGGGCATAGTACCACAACGCATCCAGCAGCAGGTCTAGCGACCACCAGCCAGCTCCCGAACCTGCCGAACGAATGCCGTTTTTCCCCAAGTGAAGCAACACTACGGGCAGATAATACTTCGAGTTGGACCAGGCAAAGCGCCACAGATTCTCCAGGGCCGCCCGCCGGCAGCTGCGTGGATGGAGCAGCTCCTGGCAGCTGCGCCAGCGAATGGTCTCCTCGAACGACTTGCTCAGCACAGCCATGGAAACACACGACTGCCACTGGCACTGACTGGCACAGAGAGAACCCCGGACGCTGGACTACTGCCTAAAGAGTGCTAATTTATTCCCGAATAATCGTACATAGTCAATAATATTTGTTTGAATTGCAGAATTTGTTCTGTTGGTTCTTTTGTGTGTGCGCGGGGCCCCGGCACTTAGTCAACCTCTTCCACGGTGGGTCCGCGGCCGTTGCCGTTGCCAGACTGCTGTTTGCCTTTCTGTGCGGCGCCCGCATGGAGCTTGGACATTATGGGACTGCACACGCTCTGGGAGTCCTTCAGGTGGTGCTCGTACTCTTCCTTCTCGGCCAGCGTGTTCTTATCCAGCCAGGCCGACTCGGCGGAGCACTTGTCGCGCACCGTGGCGCGATCGGCGTCGGAGAGGAGGCCCGAGGCCGCCTCCTCCACCGCCTGCTTGCAGCCGTAGATGTATCCCTCCAGGGTGTTGCGAGCCTGCACCCGTTCGCGCTGCCGATCGTCCTCGTCCTTGTACTTCTCGGCATCGGAGAGCATGCGATCGATCTCGGCCTTGGACAGACGGCCCTTGTCGTTGGTGATGGTGATCTTCTCGGACCTGCCGCTGCTGTGGTCCTTGGCGGCGACATTCAGAATGCCATCGGCATTGAGGTCAAAGGTTACATCAATCTGGGGCACGCCACGCGGCGCCGGCGGAATGCCGTTCAGGTTGAAGGTGCCCAAGAGATTGTTGTCCTTGGTCATGGCCCGCTCGCCCTCGAACACCTGGATGGTGACGGCGTTCTGGTTGTCGCTGTAGGTGGTGAAGGTCTGCTGCTGCTTGCAGGGAATGCGGGCATTGCGCTCCACCAGCTTGGTCATCACTCCGCCGGCGGTCTCAATGCCCAGGGAGAGTGGCGCCACGTCCACCAGCAGCAGATCCTGGATCTTGGAGCTGCCGACACCCGTCAGGATGGCCGCCTGCACGGCAGCGCCATAGGCCACAGCCTCATCGGGATTGATGGACAGGTTCAACTGCTTGCCGCCAAACAGGTCCTGCAGCAGGCGCTGTATCTTGGGAATACGCGTGGAGCCGCCCACCAGCACCACATCGTGGATGGCCTTCTTGTCCATCTTGGCATCGCTGAGGGCACGCTCCACCGGCTGCATGGTCGAGCGGAACAGATCCATGTTCAGCTCCTCGAAGCGGGCACGCGAAATCTTCGAATAGAAGTCAATGCCCTCGTGCAGGGCATCTATCTCCAAGGAGGCCTCCGTGCTGGAGGACAGCGTCCGCTTAGCCCGCTCGCAGGCGGTGCGCAGGCGGCGCAGGGCTCGCACATTGTCCTTGATGTCCGTCTTGTGCTTCCGCTTGAACTCCTCCATGAAATGGTTCACCAGACGATTGTCAAAGTCCTCGCCACCCAGATGGGTGTCGCCGGCCGTGGCCTTCACCTCGAACAGCGACCCCTCGTCGATGGTCAGAATGGACACGTCGAAGGTGCCGCCGCCCAAATCGAAGATGAGCACGTTGCGTTCGCCCTTCAGATTCTTATCGAGGCCGTACGCCAAAGCAGCGGCCGTCGGCTCGTTGATGATTCTGAGCACATTGAGACCGGCTATCGAGCCGGCATCCTTGGTCGCCTGCCGCTGGCTGTCGTTGAAGTAGGCCGGCACTGTGATGACTGCGTCCTTGACCTTGCCACCCAGATACAGTTCGGCGATCTCGCGCATCTTGGTCAGCACCATCGAGCTGATCTCCTCGGGCGCAAAGCGCTTGCGTTCGCCCTTGAACTCGATCTCAATTTTGGGCTTGCCCCCCTCGTTGACGACCTTGAAGGGCCAGTGCTTGAGGTCCTCCTGGATCTTCTTGTCATCGAATTTGCGTCCAATCAGACGTTTTGCATCGAAGACCGTATTCTGGGCGTTCATCGCAACCTGCGGATGGGGCGGGGCAACGGGATTAGTCAGCGCATTCGCTATTTTTATATACGGCAGGCGCCCAGCCACCACCCACCCACACATGCCGCTGCTGCGTTGCTGCGCTGCTGCGGTGCTGCTGCTTTCATATTTATTTATGTACAATATACAATTCCGATTCGCATCACATCATCATCATCACCAGCAGGCAGTGCAGCGGGCATCATCTATCTGACCATATTGGCGCCCGCTCGTACATTTTGCCCATAATTTGGTGTTGGCCTGACGACCCTGACGACTCACCTGGTTCTTGGCCGCATCGCCAATCAGGCGCTCCGTGTCGTTGAATGCCACATAGGAGGGGGTCGTCCGGTTGCCCTGATCGTTGGCTATTATCTCCACCTTGCCGTTCTGCCACACACCCACGCAGGAGTAGGTGGTGCCCAAATCAATGCCGATGGCCGGTATCTTGGGCATTCTGGCACGCGTTCTATATACTCGTAAGTATCACCAACTTTAGACCAAAGATCAGCAGCCGCAACTGCTGCTACTGCGTCTGCTGCTTGCTGTTGGACAACTGAAGCCGTGCGTTTTGTTGCGTCGATTTTTATGGTGCAGCCTCCGCTTCGCTTCGCTTTGCTTCGCTTCGATTCGTTCCTCTGGCACACACTTGAGCAAATTCTACAAAACGAGCCGAATTTTGTTTTCCAATTTTTTCACACGGTGATTTCAGAATTTGTGTGTTGTTTCGTTTGATTTTTTGGAGATTCTGACGTTTGTTCTAGACGTGTTTGCCTGCCGCTGCTCTCATTGGCAATGACGTTTAGCTTCAAGCAGGCTGCGATTTTTTTTTTGCGAATTTTTTTTTTTTGATCGATGATGTCTCGATTTGGCATCGTAAAAATGTATATAAATAAAAACAATGTTGAGGAATATGCTCCAGTTTATTTGCATAGTTTTAGAGCCATCATCTTTAGCAGAAAATTGCCAAGTTAAAGAAAATTCTACATATATATTTTATGTAAATTTTGTGTGGCATGGAAATTATTTAGAATTGTTAATTTATGCACATTAATAATTCTTTCATGAAAAAAAACCTTTCTAAAAACACACAGAATGAATACAATATCCCACTAAAAATGAATAAATATTTTCTGAAATTATATAAACATTTATTTTAAATGTTTTGCTCTCACATAAGAATTTTATCAGAAAATTATTGGACACCTGTTCTCAGCGTTTTCCCTTCTTTTTCTTCTTTTGGCCATCGGGCCAGGCGAAGCCACGCGATTTCAGAACATCCTGAAACATTCAACTGATGGGTAAATCGAATCACAGATCACAATCAAAGCCATGGACTCACCTGGACATTGTGGCACACATAGTATGCGTTCTCCATGGCAGCATCGTTGAAGATATCGCAGCCTATGGATTTTCCGACGCCTCCTTTCTTCTTGCCGCCTCCGCCGCCACCATCCTTCTTCTTCTTGTCATCGCCCTCACCACTGCCAGCATTGCTGGATGTGGAATCCTTGCTGTTGCGCTTCTTCTTACTCTTGCCGACCATTTATTCCATTTAAATCAAATAATAAAATGCAAAATATTTAGGAATTAATTATCGATTTAATAAGTAATTCCCTGCCTAGCAACTGTAACCAGTTGAACCCGAGTAGAAAAGTAGAAAAAAGTAAAACAAAAATAACAGAATTGGGCAAACTAATTCTGATTGGCGAACTCGTTGTAGTAATTCGGCCACACAATGGATGCTATCCAGTCAATGTAGGACGAAACACGCGTGTAAACACCTACGGGAAATTATAAAATTATATATTATAATATATAGATTATATATTTAAAAATAAAGTACCTGGAAACTCGCTGCGGCAGTAGGTCCCATACGAAGTGATTCCAACCAAATAGTAACGGAAACGCCTTCCGTTCCGGTGACGACGACGGCGACGACGCTCCAAGTTCAACTGCAGGGGCCCACCAGAATCCCCCTGTAAAAAATAGAACGGTTGGCTGGTTAATTCTCACATTACAATTCAAGTCTATGCAGCACTCACCTGACAGGTATCGCGATTCTTCTCGTAGTCGTGGGCGCATATCTGACTACTCAGTAGTCCCTGTGGAGCACTCTCGTCCGCCGGCAGAGTGCTATTACATGTTGGTAGCGGCACCACTGATAGGTCCAGTTCCGTCAAGATGTTGGTTTGAGCCTGCGCAAATCCTGTCGAGCCATAGCCCATCGAGTATAGTTTGTTGTAGGGTATCTCGTCTCTCGCCCACAGCCGTGCGGGCTTCACGAACCACGTGTACTCCACGGGTCGGTTCAACTGTATGAGTCCTATGTCGTGGTAGTAGTATGTGGTGCTGTACAGTGGATGCAGGTGGATCTGTGCCACACGACGCCTCTGCGGAGCCACATCGTTTTCCCATTCCTTGAGTTTGATGTCTCCGATTTTGACCACATCCGGAGCGGTGCTATGCCCCAACAAATAGGGAACAAAATATTTAAGTTTCGTGACATTAAAGAAAATGTGAAGAAAATTTCGAAATTAATTTCACATTTAAATCAAATATTTCACATTTAAATTAATTAATTAATATATTTTATTTAAATATATTTCACATTTAATTCAATTATTTCACATTTAAATTAATTGATTTATTTATTTTATTTAAATATATTTTTTAAATCAAATATTTCACATTCAAATTAAATAATTAATATATTTTATTTAAATATATTTCATATTTAATTCAAATATTTCACATTTAAACTAATTAATTAATATATTTTATTTAAATAAATTTCACTTTTAAATTAAACATTTTCATATTTAGATTTAATATATTTCTAACAAATGTAATCTGTATTTTCAAATCAATCAATTTGGCGTTGCCTTCAAATTAGTTAAATGTGCAGCTAAGCAAACAAAACGAGAAGGAACGTGCGAGTCGCTTCTGGGGACGCGACTCTACTTATACCCGCACTCAGTCAGTTTATATATATATATTTTATAATTTAAAAAAATATAATTGTAGCAGTGTGATATCACATGAGTCTTGAAACCAAATTTGGTTGCCGTAGCTCTTATAGTCTCTGAGATCCAGCCGACAAACAAGACGGACAGACGGACAGACAGACATGGCTCTATCGACTCAGCTATTGATGCTGATCAAGAATATGTATATATGTATGTATACTTTATGGGGTCGGAAACGTTTCCTTCTCTGCGTTACACACATCCACTTTTACCACAAATCTAATATACCCCTTTACACTTTTTTGAGTACGGGTATAAAAACAACTAATAAGCTCTTCTACTTCTGTGCGATAAAACATAGGGCATCAAAGCATGCTCATGCATACATACATACATACTTATGCATACAATACATACTTATGCATACATACATACGTATACGTACCCATGTGTGGTTAAGCAGTGCGCGGCAGTGAGCACAAAATACTCACTGATCAAACTGCCGCCGCATTTATAATCGATTTGGTGGTTCTCATTGCGGAATCCGAGAGCGGCCTGCATGGAGAGACAGTTAGGCGAGAGTGTTTGAGCATGTGAGCGTGGCTTAATAACTGTTATCAAATCGTAGGGCATCGATTATGGGCAATAGTTGTTTTAGTTGTCTATTTCTCTTTGCTTTGCACGGTGGCACAGTGTGGCGCATAACAGAGTCGAGTCGAGTCGAGTCCGGTTTTGTGTGATTTTGGTATGGAGTACATACATATGTACATATGTATGTATGTATGGATATTGCCTAGCTGTGTACTGACCATGTGTGGGTACTGGCCGGGTGCCACAATTGACCTGCCGTTGAAGTCATCCTGCAAGTCCTCCATTTCGGCCGTGTGGTTGTAGTTTTGTGCATCCATTTTCTGTTCCATGTCCAGGAAGATGTTGTGAAAGTTTCGATAGTGGTCTTTTGGCGGTCGGCGGGGCGCGTACCTATCTTTGTGTCCACGACCACCACCAACACCGCCACCGATGCCGCGCGGAGGCTTTCGCGGCCGTGGCCCTCCAGGCGGACATCCAGGCGGTGGTCCGGGTGGTGGTGGTCCCGGCGGTGGCGGACCGGGGGGCGGGGCGCCACAGGGCGGTGGGGGTGGCCGATTCTGAGGCGGTCTATAATATGCGTTAAAGTAACCCGACGGCCATCGATTATTGTTACCGTAGTCCCACCTGTTTGGCTCGAGCTGTGCCTGTGTGCCGCCGTTCTCCCAGTACTGGCCATTGACACTCACTCCGCACACAGCCAAACAAATCAGGCAGAAGAGTCGCAGCATCTCCATCGCATGTCTCAACCGCTTCACCGATCGAACTCAACTGTTGCGCGCTGAGTCGAGCGGCGGCGGGGTCTTCCACGAAGAAAGCTACCCAGTTCAGGCAAAACGTTTTATTGATATTCAGTTGAATTTATAATTGAGTGCCCGCATTAATTAATACAAATACAAATCAAAATCAAACAAAACTCCACACTCAAGGGTGTGTTTTGGCACAGTGGTGGCCAAAAAAACACGCCCAAACACACACCCCAAAAGAAATCATTGATTAAAGTTGCATTTTATCCGGGCATAGACTCAAGGAATGTGGCATATCTTAGCCCAAATGCCAGTCGAATGATGGTGCTCTGGCTATCCAATTCAATCATCCATCTACAGCTGACCTGCCTGCTCTCGGTCCTCCTCTCACGGTCGCGGCCCCTGGAAGGTACGTTGCCCCCTGCAAAAACTTCCCAGTAATGCTCGGCTCGTGTCCTCCTTCTTTCAGCCTTGGATGCCATCGAGATAGTCAACTATCAGACCACCAAGTACACTCGACTCGGCGATACTTGGACGCAGCAGGAGGAGGTGTCGGGCGGAGGGGCAGCCGACAGGGAGGAGAGCCTTTTGAAGTTCGACGACGATGCTGAGGTGATGCCACCCGCACCCGCCGCCGAGGTGCTGCACGAGGGCGCCTTCTGTCGGCGCAGCTTCGACGGGCGCAGTGGCTACTGCATCCTGGCCTACCAGTGCCTCCATGTGATACGGGAGTACCGTGTGCACGGCACCCGCATCGACATTTGCACCCATCGGAGCAACGTGCCGGTCATTTGCTGCCCCCTGGCCGACAAGCATATCCTGGCGCAGCGCATCAGCGCAACAAGTGAGTGGACGCAGCTCCCCAAACCGCACACTGCCGTTCAATTAGCAGCGATCTTCCCCCAGAATGCCAAGAGTACAACTCCGCGACCAGGCGCCTGCAGCTGGCGGATGCTGGCAGGACCTTCTCCGGCAAACAGTGCGTGCCCAGCGTGCCACTGATAGTGGGTGGCACAGCCACGCGACACGGCCTCTTTCCACACATGACCGCCCTGGGTTGGACGCAAGGCAGCGGCGACATCAAATGGGGCTGCGGCGGCACCCTCGTCAGCGAGCTGTACGTCCTGACGGCCGCCCACTGTGCCACCTCGGGTAGGTAAGTGGCGCCTTTCGGTTGGATCACAACTACAGCGGACATCAATCCCCATCTCTGCACAGCAAGCCGCCGGACATGGTGCGCCTGGGCGCTCAGCAGCTGAACGTGACCAGTGCGGCGCAGCAGGACATCAAGATCCTGATCATCATTCTGCATCCCAAGTATCGATCCTCGTCCTACTACCACGACATTGCCCTGCTAAAGCTGACCAAGCGGGCCCGACTGTCGGAGCTGGTGCGTCCCGCGTGCCTGTGGCAAGTGCCGGAGCTGCAGATCAAAAGCGTCGTGGCCGCCGGCTGGGGCCGCACCGAGTTCCTGGGCGCCAAGTCGAATGTGCTGCGGCAGGTGAACCTGGATCTGATACCGCAGCTGCGTTGCAAGCAGATGTACCGCAAGGAGCGGCGGCTGCCGCGCGGCATCATCGATGCCCAGTTCTGTGCTGGCTATCTGCCCGGTGGCCGGGACACGTGCCAGGGTGACTCCGGCGGACCACTGCACGCCTGTGCTCCCCGAATACAATTGCGTGGCCTTCGTGGTGGGCATCACGTCCTTTGGCAAGTTCTGTGCGGCGCCCAATGCGCCGGGCGTCTACACGCGGATATACAGCTACCTCGACTGGATAGAGAAGATTGTGTTCAAGCAGCGCTAGACCTGGCACCTAGGAGATTGGCGTTAAGTAAATTTAACTAGACATATATAGTAACCGCCCATTCTATTTAGTGACAAAGTAAATTGGAGCATTCGACCACTGATATCGGAAATCTTAAATGTTTAAATCTTCTTAGAGCCATAAAATGTCGCCTTTATAGATTATTTAATTACCTTAAGTCCACCTGAGATCCCAACGATATAGCTTAAGATATTTAATGATATTTAGTAATAGTTGAGAGCCAATTAAACGATAAATCAAATGCAAATACATATGTTAATGTAGGTTCACCACTCAAGGCCAAACAAGTTGCTCTATCCAGCGGAGATAGTGCACAATGCGCACATAAATGCCCGGCTCTCCGGTGGCACAGGCGCCGCCAAAAGAGGTGAGACCCACCACGTACGGAACTCGCTGGTGACGCTGTCCCATGTGCTGGTGAAGCAGAAGAGGACCGCCCGAATCGCCCTGTAGTTTAAACAAACAAAAAAGAACTGGAAATTAATTTTTTTCTCTCAAATGAGAGCTCCACACTCACCGGGCAGGTGTCCATGCGGCCAGAGGAGTCACCAGCGCAGAGCTGTCCAGGACCGAGGCCATTGCTCAGCCTGTCAGAGTGTTGGATGTACTGCTGGCAACGTGGATTATCCAGGGGATAGAGCAGCACCTGCAGCAGCTGATTGGAGTGGGGTCCAGCTGTGTCGATTTGAAGATTTTTCTAAATATTCATATTTGGCTTGGCCAGAGGGACCGAACTAACCGAACTTTGTCTGTCCATAGCCCAGGGCTGTCAGGGGCCTTTCCGGTATAGATTCGTGGGTCCAGAAACAGGCGGCCACCGGGTGGCGAACACTTCTCGCCAGCTCAATGACGGCCAGATCGTGGCTGAGGGTCTCCCCATCGTAGTGGGGATGCCGTGTGATATGCTTGACATCAATTTGTTGGCCGCGGGTGTCGTTCAAGTCAACGCCACCAATCAACGCCACTGCCGGGGATTCCCTGTTCGTTCAAGAGGCTAATTAGCATTTCAGATGCTGTCTGCGGCTGGCTCACCCGCCAACGCTCGCACAGTGGCCTGCGGTTAGGGCGAATCTGGGCGAAATTAGTACACAGCCACAGTGGTACACATATCGGGACAGGCTCCAGGTGTGAGAATGGTCAGAACGCCAGCCGAGGGCACACTGAAGAAATAAATAAATAAATAAATATTTAAATATTTTGAATACTCTCTTCGATTACCATGTAGGGATGCTCGTGTTCCTGGGTGAGTCTGCCGCCCACTACTTGATTTTCGCTCCGATTGAGGCGCGTAATGGTGGGCTCCAGCTCCAGCTGCACCTTTTCATGTGGCTCGGGATCAGCAGCAGTGTCGCGACGGAGTCTACGCTTGTGGCTTCCCCTTTGATAAGCTTTCGAGCAAGCTGTCGAAAGGTATGGTTAAATCATTTTAGGGCCACATTCGACCGACACACACACACACACACACACACCTTGTTCACTCTTGGATTGAACTGTTTGCCCCAACACGTATCCGCCGTGGGGACAGCACACAAGCTGTTCGTGGCCGGACAATGGACAGAATAGCGGCGTCACTTGATGGCCAGACTGCAGCGCACTGATGCAGTCTCTGTGTCTGACACAACGTCCCACCAAGGGACGATCGTGGCCATAGCAGTTGCCGTACATGTCCAACGAAACGTAGGAGGCGGCTACTCCGCTCCAGGCTGTGCGATCCTGTTGTCCGTATCCATGACCGGAATGCCAGCCATGGGCCGATACAATAGTCAGTATCAAAGTCGAAACGAACGCGAGAAACGTGAGGTAATATCTCGAGTCCATAGCTGCTGCTGCTGGTCCAACCGCTCAGCCGTCCAGCTGCCGAATGAGCGATGCTCGCCAAGAAGTGAGCGCTAATAGCAGCAAGTCTTTCATTCAGCTTACTCTCTCGCCAGGGGGTACAAATGCATATCATTTGAGAGGGTATATTCGTTGTGGTATCTTTATCCTATCATGGGATAAAAGTAGCTGCCAAAATACCGAAACGTGGCTAAGTTTACTCCGAGCAAAGGGACAGGTACGGCACTCCAACGGTGACTAATTGTTGATTTTTATGCATGATCAAATCATTCAAGTCAAGAGGTCAAACTGGTACAGTTACATGCAATTATTGATCAAATAAAATTGATTGTCTTCAATTAACCAACGCCCCTTAAAGTATATTTGCTATATCAGTGGTTATCAGTCTCAGCACGGGGCCTGCCTTTTTTTATTGCATGGGGAATATAATTAACGCAAACATTTATTCGATTGAACTATGTACAAAGTCACGTGCAGTAAAATAGCTCTCCAGGTGTCGGAGAGTGCGGGATCAATGCTTAGGGCACAATATTCCAAGGAGTAAAGCTGCCTGCCTCGGGTATTTCAAGCTAAAATAATTTTCAGGCATTAGTATGGGATTTTTCCCTGTTTAAATGTGGTGGGGGAAAAACCTACCAGATTGGTAAATTTATCCTGGCAGGCCATGCGAATGCGGGCGGACGTTGAGGGCGCCTCCAGCGGGAAGTCCCCGGTCAAGCCCTGCTCTTGGCGGGCAGCTGCAATGGCCTCCTTGATGGCAAAGAAAGCCGACGACCCTATGAAGAGCGGCGGCTCGCCCACGGCCTGCAAGCAAAGGAAAGTTAGATACGATTATGAATGCTACGAAAAGGAGTATGTGAGCCTACCTTTGAGGAGTAGACGGCGCGCGGATTGGGTGCGCCCGTCAGCAGGCTGACATTGAACTCGCCGGGAATGTCGGCAAAGCCGGGCAGCTTGTACATGCCCGGACCCCGCGAATAGAGCATGCCCTGCGGCGAATACATGAGCTCCTCGAGCGTAAAGAGCCCGTAGCCCTGCATGAAGGCGCCCTCGATCTGGCCAATGTCAATGGCCGGATTGATGCTCGATCCGATATCCATCACGATGTCCGTGCTGAGCACCTGGTGATCCCCAGTCAGGCAGTCGATCTCCACAACGCTGATGCCCACGCCGTTGGTGTAGTAGCTGTAGGTGCGAGCATTGGGATTCGTCTCCGGATGGTAGCCGATGCCGGGCATCGCATAGAAGCCCGTGGCCGAGAGGCTGACCCTATCGAAGTACGCCTTGTTGATCCACTCCTGCCAGGTGCCCTGCGGCAGGGCCTCCTTAATGGGCGCCAGCCGCTTGTTCAGCTTCTCGCAGGCGTCCAGCACGGCCATTCCATTGATGTCGGAGCCGACACTGGCCGCCGTGGGCGAGGTGTTCGGCACCTTGTCCGTTGCCGTCTCCGATATGTGAATCAGCTCAATGGGAATGCCCAGCGCCCGGGCGGCACACTGAATCATCTTGGTGTTGAGGCCCTGGCCAATCTCGACGCCGCCATGCGACAGCAGCACCGAGCCGTCGCCATAGACGTTGATCAGGGCACCAGCCTGGTTCAGGTGCATCACCCCGAAGGCGATGCCGTACTTGGTCGGAATCACGGCCATGCCGCGCTTGCGCCACCGATTCTCCCGGTTGAATTTGGTGACCTCTGCGCGCTTCTCGTGGTAGCGCGACTGCGCGAGGCAGTCGTCCAGGCAGCGCTCGATGGGAAAGTGCTCCAGCTGCTGGTTGTAGTGGGTGAGGTCGCCCGTCTTGTAGAAATTCAAACGCATCACGTCCAGCACATCGCGACCCACGATTCGGGCCACATCCCGGATGATGTGCTCGCCGGCAAACATGCCCTGCGGCCCGCCGAATCCCCTAAAGGCCGTGTTCGATGGCAGATTCGTCTTGCAGACCCAGCCCCCGACGCGCACATTGGGTATGCGGTAGCAGTTCTCAAAGTGGTACATGGCACGCTCCAAGACCTGAAATCGAATGGATTAGAGGGCTGCCTTCCTGCTCAGGAGTGCTGCTACTCACCGAAAAGGACAGATCCATGGACCAGCCCGCATTGTTGTAGCACTCGATGTCGCAGGCTGCGATGAGGCCGTCGCTGCTGAAGGCCACCTTGTACCGGAAGAGGAAGGGGTGGCGAGTGCCGGTGATCAGCATATCCTCGTCGCGGTCCAGCATGCAGCGCACCGGACGACGCAGTCGATAGGCAGCCAAGGCCACCGGCAGAGCCACGGATATGCCGCGCGACTCCTTGCCGCCAAAACCGCCGCCCAGACGCTTGGCACGGCACACGACCCGGTGGGCGGGCAGCGCGGTCACATGGGCCACCAGCTTCTGCACCTCCGACGGATGCTGGGTGGAGCAGAAGAGCTCCAGCTCGTCGCTGTCGCGGGGCACGGCCACGGCCGCATGCGTCTCCAGATAGAAGTGCTCCTGGCCACCCATGCGACAGCTGCCCTCGTAGGTGTGCTCCGCCCGCGCGAAGGCCTCCGCCACATTGCCCTTGGTCACGTAGCGCGGATAGTCGGGAAAGTAGGAGCCGTGCTCGATGGCCTGCCCGATGGTGACAATGACCGGAGCCAGCTCCTCGTACTCGACACGCACGAGACGCGCCGCGCGCTGGGCCAGCGCCTTGTTGTCGGCCGCCACGGCGCCCACGATCTGGCCGTAGCAATGCACCTCTCCGGCGGCGAATACGTGCTCGTCGTGAAAGACCGGACCCACCTCGTTCTCGTGCGCCGTCAGATCCTCGTGGCTGAAGAACGCATGCACTCCCGCCAGGGCCAAGGCATCGCTGGCATCCAGCTTGGTGATCTTGGCCCGCGGCTTTGTGCTCAGCACCAGTCCCAGATAAAGCTCGCCATCCATGCGCGGAATATCGTCCGTGTATATGGCCTCGCCGGTCGCCTGCTTCAGGGCAGCGGCGTGCACCGCCGGCCTTCCGATCGGATCACAGACGGGCTGTGCGCTGCAGACGCGCTCAAAGAGCTGCGCACTGCGCAGCGTGGGCGTGTGGAAGAGCTCTGCGCCGCTGCGCTCCTCCGGCGGAATGGCGTCGCCGGCAATGATGCCCGCCTCGCTGAGCCGGCGACTGATGGCGAGGTAGGCCTTGAAGATGAGGCTGACCACGAGAGCGCGGCGATAGGCAATCATGCCGCCCGGTGCGGACGCCGCCAATGGAAGCTCCCCGCACAGACTCTCCGCCACGCGCTCCACCATCTGATGATCCAGGGGCTGCTTCACCATCAATTGGGAGGTGCGAGGCGCCAGCACCGTTGTGGGGGCCATGCCGCCGAATGCCATGGAAATCTCCGCCACAACGTTGGACTGCGGCTCGAATCGCACATTGACGGCCGCATTGACAATGGCAATGTCGTCGTCGCGACGACGCGCCTGCTTGAAGGCCACAATATGCTGGTCCGCAGTGGTCTTCTGGAAGTGGATGCCCAGCAGCACCTCGTGCGGCTCGATGACGTTGCGCCGATAGCCGGTGAAGAAGCCCGTGCCCATATGGACAGTTCGCTGGCTTATTTTGCCGCCTGCGAGGCTGGCCACCTGCAGGCGAGCGCCGGCGGCTGTCAGCACGGGATTCATGTCCGAGATGGGGCTGCCCGTCATGATGTTGCCGCCCAGACAGGCCACGTTGCGGATCTGCTTGCCGGCAAAGTAGTGCAGCATGTCCACGGCGCACTGGAAGAGGCGCGTCTGCGTCTCCGGCAGCTCCTCGATGCGCTGCCGCAGAAGGGCGTCGATCTCCATCAGGCTGACGGCAGCCCCAAAGTAAATGCTCTCCTCCGACTCGCGCACCTCCAGCAGTTCCGCCACCTGCGTGGGATTGATCAGGTGCGGGTAGAGGAAGTGCTTGAACTTGACCTCCACCCCGACCTCCGTGTTCCCCACCACCAGCTTGGCCGTTGGATGAGCGGACTTTAGCTGCAGCAGCTCCTGCAGGCTGGTCGGACGGTACCAGCTGACCCGCTCGGAGCTGAAGATCAGACTCTCGCTGTCATAGGCGGAGTTCAGCTGCAGCTCGGGCGGAAAGATGGGCTCCTGGCTGGCGTCGAGCGGCTGAAACTGGCTGCGCTCAAACAAAGAGCCATCCGTCACGGATTCCGGATCGTCGCCGTCGCCGCCGGCACCACATCCCTTGCCGTTTACTCTGCAGCATTTGTCGCCCATGCCGCAGGCGAACTCCTTGGTGAAGGTCTTGTAGCCCTCGAGGATGGGCCGGTAGCCGGTGCAGCGGCAAAGATTGCCCTGAAACGCCACCTCCAGGTCCCGCATCGACGGTTGCTCGGCATTGCGCAGCAGTGCGTACATGGACATCACTATGCCCGGCGTGCAGAAGCCACACTGCGATCCGTGGGCCTTGGCCAAGCGCTCCTGGACGGGGTGCAGCCGCGTCCTGGTGCTGCCGATACCCTCCACCGTGGTCACGGCACATCCGTGCATGGCACAGACGGGCGTGAGGCAGGCGTTGACCGCCAGATGCCTGATCTTCTGATTCCGGCCGCGATCCATGCGGGATATCATCACCGTGCAGGCGCCACAGCCGCCCTCGGCACAGCCCAGCTTCGTGCCGCACAGCCGCAGCTTATCCCGCAGGTAGGTGAGCAGCGTGCATTCTGGGTTGGGATTCGTGTCCGTCACCTGAAAAGTACAACGGATTGGAAATTAATTAATTAGATTTACGACATGAAACTGCTCTCAGATATTTTTCAAGCACATTTTTTGGCGCCTAACGACACCTCCCTAGGCGTGTGCCCTGCCCTAAAAATTGTTTAAAACTCACAACGGGTTCATCAGTTCATTCGGATCATTCGGCTCCCATTTTGCTTCCTTTACTTCTTTAACAATTTTTCTTCCAAATACTGAACAATTTCTCCATATTCGCTCCCTGATATCTTTACCCTAACAGAATCTGTATTTCAACTCTTGAATCGAGATACAGTGAATCAGACAATCGTACGGTTAGCTCCTACATTTGTTAGGGAATTAAAAATTACGATATATTTTTGTTTCTTGCAAGTGGAAATTATGAACAGGCTTAAAAGCTTTGAATATCAATAACTATGTTGAATCAATTCACAATAAAAAACGTAAGAATAAGAATGATTAATGGCTGCAAGTCTGGGCATGTTTGATTTTTAGTAGTAGTAACAGCCTACAGGGTGGGTATACGTTAATAGTACTATAAATATATAGTACTGATCCATATTGTCTTTGTATACATATGATTGAAGTTAAATTAAATTAAATTAAATTGACTCATTAAAGTATATTTGACCGCTATGGAGGTTCCAAGTGCCAAGGGAAAAAAATATAAACATATATATATTGTTTTTACGGAAAGATTCATGATCTGATTAGTTACAAAGAAAGTAATGCCTAGTCGGGCGGAACGGGGAGAGAAATACTAAAATACTACCTCAACAGAGAGAAGTTTGTGGAGAAAATGAATCACTGGCAGACGTGGGTGCGCGGGTACTTGGGAAGAAGAATCTCACCTCATATACCCAAACTTTAATGTCCTTTTGCTCTTGGCAACATACATACAAACAGACGGACGGAACGAAGCTCCGTACATATATACATACATATGTACCTTTAGATAATAGAAAAAAAAAGCACCCGCAGAATTCTTCGGCATTCATTAGAGTCTTTGACTCTGACTCTTGCAATCTGTTTGACTGTTGTAAGCCAACTTCCCAGCCCTGAGCGAGTATCTATCGACTTGTATCACTATCTAAAAGGCGAAGTCTACGAGCCCCCACTTCGTTTATTGCGATTTTGGTCGGTAGGTAGGTAGGTAAGGCAGTTTAGACAGGCAGCACCTGCCTTTGTGGAATTTTAATTGCTCTGCGCTAACACTGGCTGCTTTATTGGCCAAGTTTTATTTGCATAGCACTCCACAGTGATACTAATTTCGCACACGCTGGCCGCCCACTGTAAACAGTGTAAATCCAGATAGTATTTCTGGATTAGGAGCTCCACTCCCCGCATAACAGAGTACTGTCGGTTGGGTGGACTATAAAACTGTTATTGTCGCTGATAAGGCGGCGGCGGGGCCCCAAGCAAACAACGAACCTTTCTGAACGGGGGTCAATTGTTATCAGCGTCGCAAACTCAATAAATAAAGCATTCCCCGACTTCGACATCCATTTCAATTGGGAAACACAACGAATTGCATAAAAAACAGGCTGTTAAAACAATTATCGTAATAAAACGAATGCCCGATATGGTGAGGGTGCACAGTATATTCAATTCAATTGGTGGCCGTTCACCCATTTAAAACACGCCACGATACGCGTGCTAAGAGTTTACTAGTAGGCCTCAGTATCTATGTATCTTTTAGCCATGCCAAAGCCATAGCCATACCTTTTTTCCATTCACAAAAAACACCAGCACCGAAGTTGCTTGCTGTCCGGACATCGTGTCAGTAGGTATGTGGGTAGGCAGTATCTCTCAGTGCCAATGGCTATATAAGTGTTGTGTTTGCATGCAATATTCAAGTTTTCAAAATTTCAAGCGAGAAATTAATGCGCCCGCCGAAAGTACACACAACCGTCTCGCGCAGCCAACGAAAACGTTATGAGAATAAGCGAACCCGAACACTGTCGGGCAGGCACTTGGAGATTACGGCTCGCTGGAGAGACTAGATCGGAGACTGAAGGATCGCCGACACGTGTGTACAAAAATAAATCAACGACAGCGACGACCCTCTGCGCGGGTGTTCGGGAAATTATCAACACAGCCGAAATGATGCGGCGGTAATCAGTCAGGTAGAATCCCAAATAGTCGGCTAGACTATCTGTCAAAACACTGCCATTGACTCGCTTTGCTTTCGGTGTTCTTTCTGACACTGTTAACTGTGTGAGTTTTAATTGACCGACAGAAGAGAATGAGATGGCCAATCGTTCATTGCTCTTCACTTAGCATACAGAAAATTACATTCGGCTGTCGAACCGAACTGGGTTGAAAGATTTTTACATCTAATTGATAGGACTGTTCGAAACCTTTAATTAAAATTAAATATTATGCACGATGTCGTGTAGAATATTCAATTAGCAATGAATATAATATATGTGTAGATCCCCCTTGAGGGTAGATCTTTTATATTTCACAAAGTATTGTGCATAACTAAACAAATCTCTTATTTGTTCTACTGTTAGGTAAGATTTCACTTACAAAATAATCTATTTGTATATTGGTAAATTTAAGGCTGTTTAGTAACAAACGAATTTTAAAACAAGGAAAATTTACCTGAGTCAGATCAGATGCACATACACATAGGAGGAGTAAAATATTTACAATATTTGTATTACTAATACTACGCAGACTTAAGGTCTAATTCTTTTTCGACATTTGTGCCTTCGTATAATGCCTGGCGGCGCATGGCCTCACGTAACTGCTGCTGCTCAAACCGGCGGGCAGACCATTGATACCTGTAAAAACAACAACAACTGATAAACGGTTCAACGGGCCAAGGACAAATCAACCAACCGGCAGGACATCCAATACGCGATGGTGCCGCAGAAGAAGGATCCGAAGCCCACGTGCGTGGAAAGATGTGTACGGGAGGTGCCCAAAAAGGTCAGCACGCCGATGCCAATTCCGCCGCTGATTCCGTACAGAAAACTGTTACGAAAGCATGGTATCTGGGCAACATCGCGTCCGAAGATAACGAAGCTCTAGAATGATTAGTGTTCAGATAGTTAATACTTTTACTAGGCTGTTATCAATGCGCTTTCTGCATTTCCTACCTTGCTGGAGTCCTCAGGTTCCTCTGCCATGCTATAATTTCAATTTAAAGTCTTAAATACCAAAACAAAACAATTCAAGCGGTGGGAACAACAGCTGTTTGTGGCCAGTGCTGCTCTACCAACGAAAAACTTAAAAACCCGATCGTACGACTCAGGACTGACGTCATGCGATGTTTTGCTGTTTGACGACCCAACTTTTGCCACCTTGCCATCTCTAGTTGCAAAAATAAGTGTACAATTTGAAGCGGTAGCAGGTTTCACTAAATTAACCCTTGTCCAACATAAAGGGTGTTGCTTATGAAAATATACTATCCAGATTACTATTTTCAAAATTATGCAACGAATGCACAAAACTATCAACCACAAATACATTATCATTTTGTCAGAGTCTCTGTCGAAATGTACATACAAATGAAGTTAATATATTGCAAATGTGTAGTTAGCGAGTAGTTACCATGTAAAACATCAACTTTGCCATTTGGTCCATTTTCTTCGGTATATTTACGGTATATTTTGGTATTTTTCTGAGGGTCTGATGGTGTATTTTATCTATTAGAGCTGTCAAACGATTGATAGTTGAGCCATCGATAGTTTTGAATGTTTTGAAAAACAATCGATACTATCGTAATAGTATCGAGCTCAAATAATTATTAAAAAACCATTGAAACCTTTAAGGAACTTGTCCATTGTAAAAATTAGATGCCACCTGTCGATTTTTTTTACAAATTTGTCTTCGTATTTTATAGAAGCCAATCCAAACATATCAAAAGCACAACGACTGTAGCTTGATACTATCATGATAGTCGCAAAACCGTCGATAGTAGAGGCTAATGGTAAAATATCGATACTATCGATAGTGCCCTCGATGGTTTGACACCTCTATTATCTATAAATCCGCGGTCACACTGCTCGGCTCGTAACTCTTCTCTTTAGTTTTTTGGGTTTTATTACGATTGCACTCACTGGTATAAATAAATACAATTAATAAATTCACGCGCCCCGAGCTCAGCAACAAATCTGTGTCAATTATTAGTCCGTTGATGCCAAAAGAACTTCCAGCAGTGCAACACAACCCCACGCCACACCAGAAAGCAACACTTTTAGGGTAAGTAGGCTGTAGCAACGCTGCCTCAACTTGGATTTCGACAGTGTAGGCCAAATACCTGGGTGAACGGATGCTTCATATCAATTGACTTGGACTTTTCCATCATAGCAAAAAAAAACTTAGTTTCACTCGGCACTGGACACGTAGACAAAACACAGCAATCAATTTTCAGTTGAAGAGTTCTCGGTATTATCTGTATCTCTGATAATCTCTCTACTTAACTGTTGCAGCGCCTTCACGTTATTTATCACAAGACGGCCAGGCCAGGCCAACAGCAGTCGTCGAACACACTACGACGGCACACGGGCTGAAAAAAGAAACAGAAACTGATGCCCAGCCAAGCGAAGGCCTAGCACATACATACACACATACGTGGACGCTGTTTCTCTGACTATAGAATCCGAATTTCGACTCGCAAACGACTCTTCCAAACAACTGTACACACAAAAGACGCGCACGTTGAAAGTACATACAGAACGGCACCGCACCGCACCGCACACGATGGATGTATCAAGCTCATCGTTTGAGTCCTCCAGTGCAACGATGGATAATAACAGCAGCTCTTACACAGGCGATACCACACTATACGACAGCGCGCTGGACAACCTATCCGCCACGGCTTACAAGTCCTGTAATGGTAAGTCAGGTTCATGGGGTCATGGGCCCTTTTAGTAGTTGTTAAACAATCCTTAACAGATAAGACTGAGACGTCGAATTTGGGATCACGCGGCCAGATAAACGAGGCTCAGATGAACAGGATCTACCATGGGAATCATCGACACGTGTGTCGCTCCCGAAGTGTCACAAAATCCGAGAAGCACGATTTTTGCATGCGCTGGCTCAATTCCTTCGATTCCCCGAATCTCAAGTGCAATGCGGAGGTGTCACCACGGAAAACAGGCTCCACAAAGTCTGGCTCAAGGGTTTCGCAGAAGCTTCATAAGCCATGGACGAACACATTGCCGGTTCTTTTGGAGGAGTCAGAGCAGAAAACAGATGCAACATGTTCGTGCCCCATGGTTTCGGAAGAGCATCATGAGCAAGGCATGAAGCAGGGACAACTCGATCGTTGGCACGGGCATATGGAAGCTTCGTTTATAGCGCCCTCTAAGCTCAAGTCCGAACAGCAAAGTACAAGAAGCAATCGCTCCATGGTTTCGAATAATCAATATAAGCTAGATATGAAGCTCAAAGAACGTCACATACCCCAATTGGGAGATCATGTTACCATCCAAGGGCATCTGGAAGCTGCGTTTAGAAAGCCCATCAAGCTCAAGTGCGTCCAGAAAAAAAACCCTGACCCCATTGCATTGCAAACGCATCATAAGCTAAGGCTGCAGCACACAGAACTCGTACGTCAGATAGACTCCGCTAAGCTGAGGCTTTCTGTACTCGAAATCGAAAAGGATTACGCGGAGAATGCGCTAATGAAGGCAATCCAGGAAAGACAACTCAAGGGGCCCTTCACTGACCAAACTAAAGCGAATCTTTTTGATGAAGCGCTGAAGGCGCTCGAAGCCCAAACTGCAGCCACTTTTCCAACTCAGTTTCTATCAGAAGTATTCTCGACAGTCGCAGACGAGGACCAGCTATCCAATCATTTCTCAAATTTAGACAACGAGCTTTGTGATATAGTGGACACGCTTTGCGTGGAAAATTACAAACTGAAGAAGGAGTCGCAGGAAAAAAAGGTCAAGCTAAAGCTTGAAGCTCTGAAGGAGATGCTGGCCAAAACATATCAAAAGCAGGTCAATAGGGAGGCGAAGAGCTACCAGAAGCGTGCTGCAGCATTGAAGAATAAATGCTTCGATTTGCTGAAGCAGTTCCTAAAGAACAATATCCCCGAAAACGAAAGCAAGGAGTTTCTAAAGGAACTGAAAGCTCTCTATGAGAAGGACACTCAAAGTTTCTAATTTATATATTTCTTACTCGTATTAAACAAATCTTTGTGTGCTGCTGTACCTTATTGTCTTTTATCTTCTTTTCTTTCGTCCGCAGAGAGTCTGATTAGCGATATTAGCAACCACATCTCGATGCCTACGAATGGCGCTAGCAAAGTGGACAGCGCAGATCTTGGCAGCGAAGCAGCTGCCTTCAAGGCAGCCGCTTCTGCAGCGCCTGCTGCATTCACCGGTCCCACCACCCAAGCTCTAAATGCCAGCATGCTGCTCATCCAATCGGAGAGCACCGACACGAACACCTCGCAGGAGGAGGTGGATCCAAAATCGCAGCTGGCCAACAAGACAATATTCAAGACAGATAATCCCAATTTGTCAATTATAGAGATAAACGATAATTCGATTAAAGCCGAGGACCTCGAAAAGGAGGTCGTGCTGATTGAGGGCGACAACGTTAAGCCCATACTGAAGAAGTCGCCCAGCAAAGGGCCCGCCCCGGCCCCACCCTCGGCCTCGGACCCAGCCCTGGTCACAGACAAGCGACGCCGTAAGACAGAGTCATTGCTGCAAACGAGCAAGCAAAAGCTGGACATCTCCATAGCCGAGGCCTCGGCAGCAGCCGATGGAGGAGACAATGACAATCGTGAGATGCTTGTTGCGCCCAGCCATGATCAGCCACAGACAAAGCGCGAAATTACAATCTACGATACTCTTGAGGAGTTTGATCAAAATCTTCCGTCGACGGTGACGCTGTTGAACACACCGTTTGGCAGCAAGGTCTATCTCGTCGGAACGGCGCATTTCAGCGAAGAGTCACAGGATGACGTCTCTTTTGTATGCCTGCAAGTTCATCTACTTTCAGCCTCTTACTAACTAGAGACGCCTTCTTTTTCAGGTCATACGCAATGTCCGTCCAGATGTGGTCATGGTTGAGCTGTGTCCATCACGTATACACATTCTGAAGCTGGATGAGAAGACCCTACTGGAGGAGGCCAAAAATATCAATATACCAAAGGTAAGCAAGGCAAAAAGTTGCGGGTGTTGTTAAGTACTAATTCTTTGGTTAATTTCCAACACAGATACGTGGTATTCTACAGACCCATGGCTACATCAACGGGGTCTTCTTCATTCTGCTGCTCCAAATGAGTGCTCAAATCGCAAAGGATCTGGGAATGGCGCCGGGTGGTGAATTCCGTCGGGCCTTCGAGGAGATACACAAGCTGCCTGGATGTATTCTGCATCTGGGCGATCGACCAATTCGCATCACACTGTACCGAGCGCTGCGCGCTCTGTCCTTGTGGCAGACCATGAAGCTCGTCTGGCGCCTGACATTCACAGACAGCATAAGCATCGAAGAGGTGGAGGAATGCAAGCAAAGGGACTTGTTGGAGAAACTGATGCAGGAGATGGCCGGCGAGTTTCCTGCTTACTCGGACGTTTTTGTTCGCGAACGTGATCTCTTCTTGTGCCATTCCTTGCAGGTGGCTGCCCTCCCACAAGCGACAATGGGTGGTTCTGGCATCCGACCTGTACGCGTTGTGGGTGTGGTGGGCATCGGCCATGCCAATGGCATTGCCAAGATGTGGGGACATGTGGACCCCGATAAGATACCTTCCATACTCGAAATTCCGCCGGCCAGCCTTGGTCAGCGTGTTTGCAAGTTCACCCTGAAGTACGGCCTCATTGGCCTGGGATGCTATGGCGTCATCCGCTTTGCGCGGCCCCGTCTGACGCGTTTCTTTTGAATTTATTCGTGGGGACACCTACTACTTTCGCTACGTTGTTAAATTTTTATTTTATTGACTTGCAAATCCCTGCGCAGAATATATAAGCATATGCCACTCACTGACAATTAATTGGTATTGTATTGTACAATTGTTTTGGTAGGGATCCTTTATACACGAAATACAACCACGGATGTAAATATTTACATACCTGACCCACACACACACAGACACATCTATACAAATCTGAAAATACTTGTACACATAATCCTAGTTGTAGAATCCTCCCGCATTCGCTATGTAGAAAGTGGGACTCGAATTGGTTATACACCTGTGTTGTTATCCTGCGGATTGTTAAACAAAAAGACAGACCTACACTACATATACACGAAACTAAGTTTTGCATAATTAAGGCATTGTATTGTATTGTATGCTGTATCGTACAAGGTTTCCTAGCAGGGCTGGATCTGGTGCCCCTTGTGTTAAGCTCAAGAATACAATTAATCAAATCATCCTCTTTAAGCATCCATCTGCAGCTACAGTACAGCGATGCTGCTAATGTTGTATCTTCCACTTCATACTCTCTCATAGATGTTGTTCATTCCGTAGTAGCAAACAAAACAAAAAACACTCAAAACATAAACCACAGCTAGTACAGTTTATAATTAATCGAAACGTGATGGACCTTCCGATGGCCGTGCTACAAATATGTTATATAAAGAAAAAGAGAAGGGGAGGAATTTTACAAAAAACAAAAAAAAAAACCAAACCAACCGAAGCATACCAACCTAAATGTACTTTACTAACTATAACTATAAACTATACACATACATACATACATATATGTACTATATCTGAGCGTTGTAAACGTGTGAAAACTGTTTTAGAAATACAAAAAGTAAAGGGCAAACAAACACATCTATTATCTGCTTAGGTTAGCCAATCATAAATGGTGTTATGTAGCATTTAGTATAGAATCTACCCGCCCCGAAAAAAAAACTGTCCTTTGTGTATAACAGACTCAAATAAATGTATTCAAATCAATATAAAAGTGAATCGTACTCTTTTTTACCCCACAACCAAACCGCTAACCCTTGAGTATTGGAATGTCTTTGATTTTCTTTTTTCTTTTGTTTTATTATGTACTTTAAACGTAATCTTAAGCACTAAACGTCTCTCATCTTGTGTGTTGCTTTTGTTTCGTTTCGTTTTCTTCTGTTTTGTTTTGTTTTGTATGCCATAATTGTGTGTGTTTTGTTTTCTCGTAATTAAAAGTTTCCAACATTGTTTTTTGTTTTGCGCTTATATGTAGTAACATATTTCTTTCACTTACAATTTCCTGCAATACAAATAAAAATCTTACGATTGTAACTGTATAAAGTTCTAAATAGTTACAAATTAAACACTAAATATGTAGTTAATTTTGAGGCGTGTGGTGTGGTGTTGTTGTCTCTCATCCTTTTGCATCGCTTCTTTCTTTTCCTTCCGTTGCCGATTTCTTCTTCTTTCTGTGCTTTATGGTGTTTTGGGGGGTATTGGGTTTTGGGGTTTTTGGGTTGTGGTAATGCAAATGTGTATCGTACTTTAAATTATATGTAACATAGAAACTTGGAAAAATTCAAATCAAGCGCTGGCGCAGGTGCGCCTGGAATCGTCGAGCAGACAGACAGACAGCAGCAGCAGGACAGAAGAGCGATGGTGGTGGGGGGAGGGCAGGGGTTTGTCACACTGAAAGACAGGCCATGCCCACTGCCGACTACTACTCCTTAGGTGCAAAGTATAGAGGGTTGGTTATCCATCTTCTGGCCAAGCTTTTGTGTGTGTGTGTCTCGTCTCGTCTCGCTGGGGCGATATCCAGGCACCACTGCCCGTTGTCACTCCAGCTCTCGGCTCCAGCTGCGATGCATCATCAGCAGCAGCAGCAGCCTACGGCGTCTCCGTTGACTCGGCCTTAACCTCCGCTTTTATGCTCGATAACAGATGATTATTAGGGTCGGGCGCACTCAGGGGCTAAAAGCAAGAGTGGGAAGTGGATTAGAATCATCGATCATCGACTGGGGCAGCGCGTCTGCAGCGTCAATCACAATCTGTTAGTAGCCCTAGCCTAGCCAACCACGAAACTACATACATATGACTGCATTTGTCTACGACCAACACGGGGGGGTTCCTGGCTACTGGCTTACTGGCCTGCCAGACAACAGGACCAACAGGAGCGCAACAGCAACAAACACAAACAATTTATCTAATCCCACAAACACACACGCACACGCATACGCACACACGGCGTTTGCATAGCTCCACGACATGGCATTGGCATTTGGCATGGTGGAGTGGAGTGGGAGTGGCAAGGTGGCAACTGGTGGTAAGATGGTAACTGGTAACTGGCAAAACTTAGGACACACATAGCGCACACACAAACACAAGACAACAGAGGTACGTGTACCTACCGATTGGCTACTCACAATTCCGAGCGGCAGTCCACCAACTTGCGGCGACAAGTGCGGCACCGTGGGCACAGCGGTCGGCGGCACCGGTGACGGCAGGAGTGCGGCTGCTGCAGCGGCCACGGCGGCCGCAGCAGCGGCTACGGAGTTGGGCGGCGGCGGCTGAGCCAGAGCAGAGCTGCTGCTGCTGCCAATGTTTGTTGTACTGTGGGGACCATCGTGCGGTGTGGTGCTGTGTGCCCGATGATGCAGTGCGCCTGTATAATAGCCGCCATTTAATCCTGTTTTGTATTTCGATTGTTTTTTGTATTTGTATTTGAAAGTTAGGTAAAGATTATGAAATGTTGCTGGTGTTTTTTTTTTTTTTGGTTTGTTGTCTGTATTTATGTGGGGGGAATTGATTTTCTTGATTGATTGCTTGTGTTCTGGGTTCGAGTTCTGATTTTGTGCGAGTAGTAGACGTTGGCAGAGTCTGAGTTCTGGGTGGTGACTGCGTGTGATCTATGAGAGTTTGGGGCTGGCTCGGAGAGCGGAGACTGCGAGGACAGGGAACTGTGGACTGTGATGCGATGAGTGCGGAACAGGCCCTGCCCTGTACGGGTATACCGTTCCGTTCCTTACAGCTAATTAGTACAATAAGCTATGGCTGTGGCTGTGGACGGACAGCCATAAATTACTGACTTTCGCCTGGGGGTGAAACGAGCTTACGAGAGCTTAAACTACGTATATAGATATGGGTGGGTAGGTGTGCGTTATTTCAATCTCATTAAGTACTACTAATAAGGCTTGGCTTGGTCTGCTCTCTGCTGCTGCTCTGCTGCTGCTTGATCTCAATTCATGATCCCAATAGAAAAAAACGTGAATGGCAGTGAGGGTTAAGGAAAACACAGTCTTGCAACACTGCCACACAAATGGAACAACGAACACGATCCGATCCGATACGATCACTTAAACATGGACTTCCGCAAGTTAAACAATAATTGGTTCATTAAAGATTTTGTTTTTATTTGTTTTTATCTTCTTGGGTTTCTTTTGTTTTTTGTTTTGCATTGTTTTCTGGAAAGGTTTTCTTGGTTTTTAAATTAACTTCTCTTTTTTTATCATCATCTCCATCATCATCAATCATCAGCTTCTTGTTCGTCTACTTTTTGTTTCGTTTTCTTTTTTTTGTTTGTTGCTTCATCGTCAATTGTTACGCTTTAATTTTATTTAGCTTTCACAGTTATTAAAAATATCCTTTTATACATTACAAAATAACAGTATTTTATTCTTTTGTCTCATTTACTCATTACGTTTACTTTTTTGTTTACTCTTTACTCATTATTTTTTACGTTTAGCTTATGCTTATTTATGTTTTACTTTGCTCATTTGTTGTGTTGCAGCTTGCTATATAGGATCGCGTGTGTGTGTGTGTTTTATGTTTGTGTGTGGCATGGGTGTGTGTGTGTAACTGTTGTCTGTGTGTGTGTGTGTGTGTGGGTGTATGCGTGTATGCTTTGTGCTTGTAAATGTTTTCAAATATTACAAAATTTGCATCCCTACAAAACAACAAACAAACCAAAAAACAGAGTGGATTGGGAGCGGATGCTGGAGAATGGCGGGGGCTGGTTGAGGGACGGGGGACACTAACTAATGCAATAATAAAATATTTTTCTTACTTAAGGAAAACGATTGGATTGGATATCTGTGTGTGAGTGTGTCTCTTTTTTTATGAGCATATAAGGAGTAGATAAATAAAGAAGGTTGTTTCAAAAAATTTAAGGAAACTCCATCCAATATATAGGCATGGGCATCGCCGCAGACTGCTTGAAGCTTTTTTTTTCTCTTTCGTTCGTTTAAAATTAAATTGCAAAATTGTACAAAATGATACTCTCACAATTGTTGCGCGTCCTTCTGATTCGCTTTAAATGTATGTAAATATATATATGTGTATATATATATATATGCATTCTCGTTAATCTGTTAAATAATATTACAATTTAAACGCTAACAATGTTTAATGGGGATGGGTGGGGAGTGGGATGTGGAAAGGAGGCCAGGGCCACTCTCTGATGATCCCATAATATCCCTTCCATCCGTTGCTCGCTCATCATCGATCATCGTTCGTAAAGGTAAATCTAAGTTCATTAATATTACATGTATTATTCTTTCCTTCTTTTTTTTTGTGTGTGTTTGTTTTGCTTCATATCATTTTTTGTTTTGTTTTGTTTTTGGGGATGTTGTTGGGTTTTGTTTTTGCTTTAATATAATTTTCTGTTTATATTTTAAATGTACATAGACTATGCTTTAAATGTTAATTGTAGTTCTTTCCTTCTATTTATAGATGTGGTTGCTGAGAGTCTAGTCTAACGCGCCGTGTTGTCTCCTATATATTAACGTATATAAATATTACTTTTTTGCTGTATTACAAAAATTGTGGTGTTCGGTTCGGTTCGGTTCGTAAGGCGAAAATAAACTTGGATGATGAGATCATTTATGCAATATAGTAAGTAGTTAGTAGAGCAGAGCTTGAGCAGCAGAATAGCATTTTCATTTTCAAATATTTTCACATTTTCAACATTTATCAACATTCTTAAATTGTTTTCTTTTTTTGTTTTGTTTTGTTGTCTTTGTATCTATCGTTTACAAAACGAAAGTCAGCAATAAATGGCGCAAAATCAATTAGTAACTAGCCAATTTTCATGTTCCCTCTTATGACTAAAAATTAAGTTTTGTTGTTTCTGAAATGTTTTGACGAGGGAGCAGCGGCGGGTGCAGCTCTCGATCTGGTTGGTATTTCTATTTTGCTTTTCTTGTTTCTGGTTGATTCTAGTTTATAATTGTGTTAACTTGTAAATGGATATCTCTCGGTACAGTGAATCATCGAGTGGAGGGGAGGATGCTGCTACTGAACAATATTACTCCACATACTCCTCTCTTCTCTGATTGTTTCTAGTTTCTGTTTAAGTAAGGCCAAAAGCACGGGGTACGAGTATTTAAGTTGGGACTTGGATAAGTAGGGAGACTTGGAATTGAGGAAGAAGTTAAGGTAGGTAAGTCGCCGCGAAATATTAACAACAACAATAATCCATCATATTGTTTACTTTCACCTTGTTTTCGTGTGTAGATATTCTTGTGAAATATATATTTATACATGTATATCGATAGTGTCGTGTATGTATATATGCATATAGTTGTGTGCGTTTGCTTGGTATATAAGAGTCAAGAATGCTTCTGGGGGGTGAGAAGTCCTACGTCTCAAAACGAAGCGGGCTGTTCAGTGAAAGTTGAAGCTGAATAATCTCTGAAGCTATTGGGAAAGCATTTGCAGTTCTCTCACACAATCCATAT